AAAACCCTAAACCCCAAATAATGCTTTGGCTATTTTTTTTTTTATTTATATGTAAACTGTATTGTTTATTATTAATTAATTTTATATTAAAAATATTTATTTATATAAATTTAAAATATAATTTTTATATTATTATAATATTTATTTATATATAATTTATTATAAGTTTTAGTTATAATAAGTTAAAATACTAGTTTCAATTTGATTGCACACATTTAATCTTAAAATGTGTATTCGAAATACGAAACCATAGGATAAAAGACCGGGAACAAAGGACGCGCTGGCCTTGGGCCCCTGGCTTCAAACATTTTATTGATTCACAAGAAAATGAGCGAGGAAAAAAAGAAAATAAAAAAGATTAAAGAAATAATTAATTAATTCCAAGTCTGCTTCAAATTCAAGCTGTCATGTATGTTCTCTCTCTATATAACGTAGGAAGTCCAAATTCCCTCTCCCTCCCTCCCCCCTTTCTTCTCCCTCAAATCAAATCAAATCTTTCGCAACAATCTTTCTCCCTTTTTCTTTGCTGAGATTTTCTAGGGTTTATCCCATGGCCGCCGAGAATCTCAGGGATTTGAGCCAACCTATCGATGTGCCTTTACTCGACGCCACTGTTGCTGCCTTCTATGGCACCGGATCCAAGGAACAGGTTGCGTTTTGTTTCCCTTTATACTCTTCTCACACTCTCTCTTTTCGCTTACACGCCTCTATGGTTCAACATTTTCACCAATTCTCTTTACTTTCACTCACCATTTCGCTTCTCCAAACTTCTACTCTTTTATTACCTTTTCGTGTCTTCAAATGCGTCTGAGGAGTGACACCGTACTGAACTAACTCGCGCTTTTAGGCTTTATTACTCTATAAGCTAAACAGAGTCTTTTTTAGTAATGACATGGTTTCACTAAGCTAGTCGCGGGAAAGAAACACTGGTTGCATTGTTAATGTGGAAAGCATGCTATCTTTTACGTTTGAAATTTGAAACAACGATTCTTTATATTTCAATACTGCAGAGAACCGCTGCTGACCAGATTTTGCGCGATTTGCAAAATAATCCGGATATGTGGCTTCAAGTCATGCATATTTTACAGAACACTCAAAGCCTAAATACCAAGTTCTTCGCGTTGCAGGTTTGTTTAATGATCTATAATTGGCTGATGTTGATTATTATTATTTTTTCATATATAACAGCACGCAAAACTGTGTCCTGTACTAAAATTTGAATGAAACTTTTGGATAGTTTAGACTTTAGATTAGTATACCGGCATTTCATGGAGTCAAAAGGAAAATAGTACCCTAAATTGTATGGTGATGCCCAAATGAATATTCAGGACCGACTACATTGGTTTTATAAAGGAACCTAATCCATTGACAGACCTTATTTGAGCATCTCCGAAGCTTGCGGCTTAACTTAACGAGCTCTTGAATTTAAGATTTGCTTTTCTAGTGTTAGTGTGCCAACATGTTTGCCACATGAACAATGCTGCTTATACAATCAACGGCAGTTACTTGTGAGTAAAATATGAGTGAAAATGTGAGTTGCCCAGCTTTTTCTTTTGAGATGCCCTAGGACCCACAAATATTGAAGTTATCAGAATGCAAGGACTGCTGGGAATTAAGAGTTGTTTAAATATTCAATAATGGACATGCCCAGAGAATGGAAGTTGTGCCTATCACCCATGTTATTCCCTGAACTTAATAATTCACGTGGATTTGTATGGATCAAGGTATATGTGCTAGATTAAGCCTCTATAAGTGATAAATCAAATTTAGAAGCATGTTTACTTTGAAGGACATATTTTGGTGTCTCAGTTGTGACAAATCAACATTTGATTTCCAGAGGGCTTGATTACTGTATCTGCTGAAATTTTACTCTGTATACTTTAGTTGCCTTGAGCCTCATCGAAACTAATCTTTTGGTGTTATTTGGTTTGATGGAACTATTGGATCTTTTAGTTTTTGTGTATTATTGTGTTTAATTTTTGTGTAGTGTTTACTCTGTTGGTGTTTTGTTTTGACATCTGCATCCAATGTGTTTACTGTTCAGTATCTTTGGAAGCAACATTATAAGTTTTCATACATGTTCTCCACTTTGTTATTATAATTCTATTCTTACCTGCCTTGGATATATTTTCCCTATACTTATGTGTACAGGTTCTAGAAGGCGTAATTAAATATAGATGGAATGCATTGCCTGCTGAGCAGCGAGATGGAATGAAAAATTTCATCTCTGATGTTATTGTACAGGTATCAGTCACATTTGGAGAATGCTGAGACCAGAGCTAGTTTCACTTGCTTTGTTGTTTTGTCTTTGCTTATACTCTTTCTGCATCTTTTGTCTATTTATTTATCAACCCTTTTTTTGTATAGCTTTCTGGCAATGAGGCCTCATTTCGAACTGAGCGGTTGTATGTCAACAAACTCAATATTATTTTAGTTCAGGTAAAAATAATATTGTACTTTCCTAATATTATCTCAATTGAATATTCATGCTATTCTCAAATAGTTATGTAGTGCATATATTTTTATTCAGATGAAATGGATACATTTTCTATAGTTTTCCTTTGTTTTTCTGATGGATATGTAGGTTTCTTTTTCCTTCCACTTTATCAATATGTTGCAATCTTATATTGCATTCTTTTGGTTTTGGGGTAACTATATATGAATTTTTGCATGCACAGATTTTGAAGCATGAATGGCCAGTGAGGTGGAGAAGCTTCATTCCTGACCTTGTTTCAGCAGCTAAAACTAGTGAAACAATTTGTGAGAATTGTATGGCAATATTGAAGGTAAGATTATCCTTATTGTCATTAAAAATTTCTGATCCATGACTAACATCTCAAAACGTGTTCTTTCAGCTATTGAGTGAAGAGGTTTTTGATTTTTCAAGAGGAGAGATGACTCAACAGAAGATAAAAGAGCTTAAACAATCATTGAATAGGTAACAATTAATAACTTTGCTTAGCTAGAAACTTACAACAGTGTTTTTGGTTGGTGTTTCATTTCTCTATCTATTTTACCTTGGAGATCTGGCATTTTTTTTTCTGGTTCAAGAAAGGACATGCCATTGCCCTGGCCCATGGGGAGGGGATGACAATCTCCGTCGTGCTTGTTTATTGCTGAAACTGATGTCTGAATGCTGGCCATTGATTATGGATCCTCTTACTGCTCCTGATTTTCAGGCCCTAGTTGTTTATTTAATGGGTTATTAAGTTGTGCCTTTATATTGCTGAGAATTATGTGGTTGTTTGCAGTGAATTTCAGCTCATACATGAGTTGTGCTTATATGTGTTATCAGTGTCCCAACGTACTGAGCTTATACGGGCAACACTCTCTACATTGCATGCCTTCCTATCATGGATCCCTTTGGGTTATATATTTGAATCACCATTGGTAGGTCCAGATTTCTGCTTAATTAACATTGCCATGGAGGAATTCTGAAATCTTTGATTGTATGTTAATTACAGCTTGAGACACTACTGAAAATTTTCCCCATTCCTGCATATCAGAACCTGACATTGCAATGCTTAACTGAGGTATGCTCCATCTTCTAAGTGCTCAAGATTTTAACTGAAACTTTCAAGATCAATATTTATTTTTTTATGTACACAGGTGGCAGCCCTTCAGTTTGGGAATTTATGTGATGCCCATATTAAGATGTATAATATATTCATGGTTCAGTTGCAGGTGTGTTTAAATAACTTTACATTTTGTTCAACATCGTATTTTGTTTATTTGCATTATCATATTCTAGTATCCATTTTTTTAACGCAGACCATACTTCCACCCAGTACTAATATTCCTGAGGCATATTCACATGGTTCAAGTGAGGAACAAGTAAGTCTTTGTAATATGGCAAAACTGGATCCTGACTTACTACTAAGTTATTTGTGAAGCATCTCTGACAAAATTTCTCCCTTGTTTAGGCATTTATACAGAATTTGGCATTGTTCTTCACCTCATTTTACAAGGCAGGTTTATTTTCTCAGCTTTATGTCTATCTGTGATTGTATGCTGCAAGTATATATTCATTAAATGTAATGAGATCAGGTGAAATAATGTGTCCTACTTTTGGGAATATTTTATACTGTGTATGTGTACCATATCATGCGTGTGACATGTTTGAGAATGGACCCACCTTTCTGTATATTGAATTGCCATGTCGATTAGTTTTTTTCCAATCTGTGTAGCACCTCTTCCTCTGTTTTTTGGTTATAGTTTTTCTGTTTGCTTGATTAGTGTTCAAGTCTATTAACATTATAGTGGTGTGGTGATACCCTTCTGTTTATGCAGGTTCACATTCGAATTCTGGAGTCCACTCAAGAGAATATATCTGCTTTGCTTTTGGGTCTTGAATATCTTATCAACATCTCATATGTAGATGATACTGAGGTTTTTAAGGTATGATGATGTTGACATTGATGTCTTCTGGTTGTCTATTTCTTATGTTATGATTATGATTTATGATTGCTGAAACTTGTGTTTTCATTCTTGAGTTTGCATGATAGACCCTCTCTTCCTATCCATCCCCAAAATTGTCTTGGCAAGTGTTCTGAATTGTACAAGACTTGTACTTGTTTTGTGAAAAATATCAGGTATGTTTGGACTACTGGAATGTCTTGGTTTCAGAACTGTTTGAGCCACCACAACGTTGCATGGTGAACACTGCAGTGGCATCTCCAAACATGATAGGACTTCAGGTGCTTTCTTCTTAAAGTTTTCTCATAAGTCATAACCATGGTTTTGATTATTAAAAATCAAGCACTGGTGATCCTCTTTTCCCTTAAAATAACTTTCGTGTAGCAAGATAGAATCATTTCCTTTTTGTGTTTGATATCATTTTATTTTGATTGAACATTGAGAGTTGATATTACCAATGTCATTGTTGTGTTGGCTGTAACAACATTACTGTTGTGTGCTTACTGCCTGGAACATATATCAGCCGTTGTTTACTACATTGATATATTTTATTACTCGTTTTATACTTTTCTCTTCTTGGAAGAGTATTTCTCATGCTCCTTTGCCTCTAATTTTGTTAGTCTCAATAAGTACCTACTAAAAAGAAAAATTAACAGAACATTTTCAATTTTTTATACTGCTCCTTTTCTGTACACCATATTCCCAAAATATTTAATATATTAGTATACTTGTTAATGAATTAAATAAAGATACTATGCTGTAAATATAATCTAATGAATAAAATCAAATATGGTGAAATTAGCTCAAATAATTATGGATTTTCTTCCTTCAATTTGCCTTGTTATATCCTTACTCCTTTTCCTACACTTAAGCTATTGTGTATTTATTTTTTTTCTTTATCATGCACTGACATAGAATATCCTATTACTGTCTTCTGGGTAAAGTATTTATCTACAAGATTTAGCTTGGATCCATTGGTCTAAACCCTAAAGCCATTATTTTGGAATCTAGATTGTATGAAAAATGGTTTTCAATTAATAATTAATGATATGTTGTGTATTTTTCACAACCTTTTCAAAGGTGTATTTTTGTTCAATTTTAAATTTCCAATATTTTGCCTAATTCTTTTACATTGTTTTAAAAGATTTTTATGTAAAATTTAGATATTATAATGAGTATTTATTGTCTGCTTCTGATATGGTATTTTCATCTTTCTAAGAATGGTTAAGGTGATGGGTATATGTTTTTCACTGGAAAGCAGGTGCCTGTGATGCCTCCAGGAATGGTTGATGGCCTTGGTTCTCAGCTTCTTCAGCGCCGCCAGCTCTATGCTGGATCCATGTCAAAGTTGAGAATGCTTATGATCTGTCGTATGGCTAAGCCAGAAGAGGTTCTCATTGTTGAAGATGAGAATGGGAATATAGTCCGTGAAACAATGAAAGACAATGATGTTCTTGTTCAATACAAGGTAATAAGGTCAAATTTGATCTTTGCCAGAGTTTAATTTCTAATATTCATTCATAGATATAAAATCTATCTTGAACTTGAAGCCATTTTCTTCTGAATATTGTATTTTACTAGATGATAAAATTGTAAATTTGAGATATTTCTTCATCATATTCTCTGATTAATCAAAGTTTGATTAATTACACAGATTATGAGGGAGACTCTTATTTACTTGTCGCATCTTGACCATGATGATACTGAAAAGCAGGTATGTAAATTAGAAAGCAGTGGATATGTTCTTGTTTTGAAGGGAGATAAATTATTCAGTGGTTTCTTTCTTATTTATTTCAAATTTTATCATAGGGAAGTTAATATTATTCCAAATATGTGCTGTTTTTTTCGTTTCATCTAATGGTAGAATCACGATGGTAATTTATGTTGGATGTTTCTTGAAAAATAATATTAAGAAGCTGAACTTCATTAACTCAAGGATTTATCAATGTTGTTTTATGGTGATATGATATCCTGACTGACAATTAAGAAGTTGCATTTTTGTGCCTTTATAAATGTCACGCCTTGATGGAGTGGACTTTTATGTTGTAATCTGCAGATGCTGAGAAAGTTAAGCAAACAACTTAGTGGTGAGGACTGGACATGGAACAATTTGAACACACTGTGCTGGGCAATAGGATCTATATCTGGCTCCATGATGGAAGAGCAGGTAGTGTGAGCAACCAATTATGTATTGTTGTGCCCAATGTTGTCAAAATAGAGATCCATCCTAATAAGATTCAGAGAGATGTGTAAGATTGTAAAATATAGGATCATAAGATCATACAAAAGATATAAAAATATATTTTAGTTCAAAGTGTGATAAATGATAGTATAAATAGCTAATACGTATTAAAATATCACTAAAATCTAGTTAAAAATTTATTTTATAGTTAATTGTATTTTGTTTTAATAAAAGGCACACTAGAGAAGATAAAGGCTCGTAGAATCCAACTCCTTAGTTTTTGGAAAATTAAAAAAAAATTGAGAACACAGCAAGTATCTTTGTTTTTCTCGTGGTTTTGATTTTTCTAAACAATTATTACTCACATCGTGTTTATGTGGCAGGAAAATAGATTTTTGGTCATGGTCATTCGTGATTTATTAAATCTCTGTGAAATCACAAAGGGAAAAGATAACAAAGCTGTTATTGCAAGTAATATCATGTAAGAGATGTTTTTGTATTGATTTGCTCAATGTTAAATAATGTTATACCTTTGTTGAATAATATACTGTTGCTTCTGTTGGCAGGTATGTTGTGGGACAGTATCCTCGGTTTTTAAGAGCTCATTGGAAGTTTCTAAAAACCGTTGTGAATAAGTTGTTTGAGTTTATGCATGAGACACATCCTGGAGTTCAGGTTTTGTTTTTTTTCCTTGGTGTTTTCTGTCAGTCATTAGATGTCTATTTATCTCTGATGATATTTGCATGACTTGTTAGAAGAAACCTAATTACTTTTGTAGTCCAAGTTGAGATTGAATACATTGAAGAGTAATATTGAATCAAAATAGAGCACGATTTGCTGTTCCAAGGAACATCAAATATGCTGTATACACACACCATTTAGTAATATGCAACCACACTTAACTTTCCACCCTAGACTGTCAACATGACGGTTACTATTCAACATATTCTAATAATACATAAGTGCCAGTGAATGTTTACATAAACTGTAAGATGCAACTGTTCCTACTTTCTGCCAATAACTGTCCTAACTACCCCTATCACTTAGTTCCCGTCGGTGATGCTGTTTTCTTAACATTTGATGCTTAATAATTATTACTTTTTTGACATCTTTACATGAGACACATTCTGGAGTTTAGGTTTATGTCTTTTTTCTTTGTTTTCTGTCGGTCTTGACGTGATCATTATATCTAATGATATTTGCCTAACTTGTTAGAATAAACCTAAGCTGTCATACTTTTTCTTATATTATAAGCTTTGTTTATGTCAAATGACTTAAAGTTGAAATGCTGTTTTTTAATGTTTGTTGCTTAAGTATTACTATTTGACATCTTCACACGAATTGCATTCTATATTGCATGTTTATATTTTTCCTTGAATTTTTTTCAGTCTTCAAATGTCTGCTATCTCTAATGATATTTGCATAATTTAGTTCAAAATAAGCTTAGGATGTGATAGTTTTGGTTGCATTATGACTTATGAGCTTTGTTTATGTTAAATGACTATAGTTTTGATGTTTTCTTTAAGTTTTGTTTTTATGTGACTATAACTGTTTGATATCTTGTGTCTTTATTGTTGTGTATTATGTATAATAAATATTTCTGTTTGTTTCATTTCTTTTGACTCACATTCCTTTTGACCTTTTTCTTGAAAATTAAGTGATTTTCACAAGATATTTCATTTTTCTCACTATCATTTCCTAACCTATATAAACTCAGATTTGGGTTTTTTGGTCTAATTTTATCCCACATAACTGACACGTTTGGTGTGGACTGCCCAAACCTTATAAGCACCATTTAGGCCAATTTTATAGTCAATGTAGAATCTCAACCACCCAAGGGTTGACGTCCAGGTAGTTGTACTCTACAGCGCTTCACTCAGCCTTTCTGATCAACTCCTTAATATGTTTCTCTTTTGGAGACACTGACAACATACCCTAAAACCCTCACACCTAGGGTACACCAACTTGGATCTAGGATAGATCCTGATACTATTTTAGAATTTGAGTTTAGGACCTAACTCAATCTCATAAATCAAATTGTAAGTAAAATCCCAAAACCTAATTGTAAGGCGATGAGGACTGCCCAAGCCTTATAAGCAATAGATAGGCTATATCTTTTGTTGATGTGAGATCTTAACAACATATGAGCTAATGCCCTTGTGTCTGCACACAGTTTTTGATGCTTCAGCTAGCCTTTCCGGCCAACTCCTCTATAGGTGGTCCTTTTGGAGACATTGATAACTAATTCTAATAGGCTACAATTAGGCTTGGCTAGGGGTACCCACAATTAAGGCAACTTTCTGATGCCCTTGTGGCTGCACTCTGACATTTCATTTAGCCTTTTTGGTATACTGACAACAATAACTCTAATAGGCTGCAATTAGGGCAGTTTAGGTGTACCTGAAGTTAAGGAAACTTTCCAAGATAAACATCTTAAATTAAAGAAACAAATTAGAAATTTGCTTCAGAATTTTTATTAAATTTATTAGTTTTAATATTTCCCTTTAGTCTTCAATTTTCTATTTTCTTTTACAAATTGGTTGTCTGGGGTGTATAGACCATCCAACTCAAGGTGCGATAGTATATTTGATTATCTAATCCATGTATGCCTTATAGACTGACTATTTGGGTTACAAATTGCCAGTCATCTAGTTTATTCCAATTGAATACTAAAATTTAAACAATGTGGCATTCTTCAATGATCAGCTTTTTTTTTTTATGTAAAGTATATCTGCTGTTGAGAATTCATGCATATAGTTTTGTTAATGTTTTCAGGATATGGCTTGTGATACATTTCTGAAAATAGTCCAAAAGTGCAAACGCAAATTTGTAATCACCCAGGTAACATGGTTACAATGGATTCATTTTCCATCCTTCCAAAACCAGAGTCTAGCATGTCCCTTCCATTTGCCATCAGTACTTAATATCTGATAAATTACATAGCAATAATCATGATCGTTTTATGTCAGGTTGGAGAAAATGAGCCATTTGTTTCTGAACTTCTTACTGGCCTTCCAACTACAATTGGGGATCTTGAACCCCATCAAATACACACGTTCTATGAATCTGTATCCATTCTTATCTCTCAATTTGATTGATAATTTTAGTCTTACATGTTTATATTTGTGTGTTCATATTTTTAACTGATTAAAATATTCTAGGTTGGTAACATGATTCAAGCAGAGTCTGATGCCCAGAAGCGAGATGAATATCTTCAAAAGTTGATGGTTCTCCCAAATCAGGTTATCTGTCAGTTTTATTAGTCGTGTTATTTCCTATGACTCTTAAATGTTATTTACTTGAATTCATTTTTTTTTTTGAGGAAGTCAAGTGTTATAATGCCAGAGGTCTTACTCAATTTCTTCTGCAGAGATGGATGGAAATTATAGGGAAGGCACATCAAAATGTTGAATTTCTGAAGGATCAAGATGTAATCCGAACTGTGCTTAATATATTGCAGGTAAAATTTTACAGTAATTTTTTTTTTTTAATGTAATTCTGCTCAATATTTTTATAATATTTCACCATTCATGCTTTGATTGATCTTTTATTTGCAAAATATAAAAAATTCCTACCCAATATTTTTCTTGAAAGGGGTGCAATTTATTTTATTTTTTTAATTTCATCCGTTATTAGTAAATGAACAGAATATAAATGGTTTTGACTCCTGTACCCTTTTTCATGTGTCCATCGCTGGCAGTTCATCATAAGGTTTTTTGGTTTAAATCCTGCTGTTGCTGATGGACCTTCATGTATAGGTTATTATGAACTCCCTTGTGCTTATGGTGATATTTGTGGCTTAACCTGATCTTGTAATAGGGCAACCTCCGTTTGATAAAATCTTGCATTACTTACTGAACTTTATTATAGGGATCAGTATATTAGAAGGTTGTACCGTTTTAGCTGTTTGATTGTTAGTGCCAAGGTTTGAACAACTGTGCTTTTGTTAGGTCTCTATTGAGCTTCACTTTTATTACAATGTTTTTACATCAAATGAGATGGTAATGCAAGCTTGTGATGCCATGTCATGAACCAATTATTCAAACAGCTCAAGCTGTTTGGTGAAGACACTTGAAAATAGTTATATGTTATATCTCTAATCATTATGATCTGTAGTCTAGTGTAGTGTCTGTAGTTTTGTTTGTTTTCCTTCCTAATTTGTGATAATTTGCAGACAAATACAAGTGTTGCATCTTCTTTAGGAACGTTTTTCCTACCTCAAATCACATTGATCTTTCTGGACATGTTGAATGTCTACAGGTATATTCTGTTAACTAAAATATTGTTTTGAGATAGATACTTTAGCGGCAAATATTGGGCAAGATTCTTCTTTTTGCCAGCAAGTACTAAGTAGTATATGTTTTACCTGCAACAGAATGTATAGTGAGCTTATATCAAAAAGTATTGCAGAAGGGGGACCTTTTGCATCTAGAACGTCATATGTGAAACTTCTACGGTGAGAATTAATTAATGTTACATTGCTTTTGTAATAATGATTACTATCCAGTAACCTTGATAGTGTTGTTCTTAATGCAGTTCGGTTAAGAGAGAGACACTTAAACTGGTTGATACATTCTTGGACAAGGCTGAAGATCAGCCACAGATTGGAAAGCAATTTGTGCCACCGATGATGGATCCTGTTCTAGGAGATTATGCCAGGAATGTGCCTGATGCAAGGGAATCAGAGGTTTTGTCACTTTTTGCTACAATTATAAACAAGTATGTCATTTTTATCTGTTTTGTTTATTTTTATTTAATTAACGAATGGGAGCTTTAACACATAAGATTGAACTTTTATATTCCTTTAACATCTGATTAAGGATGAGATCAAGTTTAGGCTTTTAAAAAAGTTTATTTATATAAAAAGGTCAGGTTTTGGCTTATAGAAAAGTTTGTTAAGCATGAAAGATTAGTGTATTTATTTATATAATACAATAAAAATTATATATATTATTAAAAATATAAATAAACAAATAAATTTACAAAACAAAAATAAATTATTAATATTTAAAATATTTTTTTATACAATTATTTTTTTTCATTATAGGTTTATAAGCTTAAATATTTGCATGAGTGTATGTCAACATATATGATTACATATGAATTGTTCCTTCAATAGAAAATTATTCAAACTTTCTCTTATATTTCTTTTAAAATTTAAATTTTAATAATATTAAGTATACTATATTTTAAAAATAATTTTGTTGACTTTTAAAAATTTAGTTTATTGGCCTTATTAACATTAATAATTTAAATAAGTTTTTAAATAGGCTAATATCTATAAAAAAGTCTATGATAGATACTAGGTTAGGGTTGGACTTTAATTTTACAGAACAGGCCTAACCTATATATTCAAAGTTTGACCTGTCCTATTCACATCCCTATATTTGAAGCCAACCCTTGGCCAAAATTAGCTTGTGTGAAGAGTATGCTGCTAGATGTTAGCTATTTTAATTACAAACAGTAGTATTACTCACTTCTCTAATATTTTGTAGATATAAAGCTGCAATGGTTGATGATGTCCCCCGCATATTTGAAGCTGTTTTCCAGTGCACATTGGAGGTAATTGTATAGGTCATCTGGCTAGGATGTGAATGCTCTTGTTCCATCATTCTGATAATGACTTTTTGATTTCCAGCTTTCCCAACCCACAGTCACTTCCGTTAGTTTCTCAATGAATATTTTTTACAAATTTACACGACTTTATTTTTGGTGAATGTAGACTGTCAATTTGTCAAGTGAGATATAAATTTAAAGAATTTGGCTTGTGACTATTTAGAAGTTATGCTCTGATTTATCATCAGTTATTTTCTTTCAATCGTGATGGTGTATAATTATTGGATATCTGCAACTATATCTGAACTGTTTTATATCTACTCTTTTATTGTTACACAGATGATTACAAAAAATTTTGAAGACTACCCAGAGCATCGGCTAAAGTTCTTCTCTTTACTGCGTGCCATAGCTACTCATTGTTTCCCAGCTTTGTTCTGCTTGTCAAGTCAGGTTGAGTTTCTTGCTCCCGCTCTGCCTATGCAAACCAATTGAATGCAGTTTATTTGACTTTATCTAATGTTGACTGTGACTGTTCTTCAAAATTTAGTTTTTGTAGTTTGTGTATGATGTTTGTAATCTGTTCCAGCAACTGAAGCTTGTTATGGATTCAATCATATGGGCATTTCGGCATACAGAAAGGAATATTGCTGAAACTGGGCTGAACCTGTTGTTAGAGATGCTGAAGAAGTTTCAGGTGTGGTCTTTGTAATTTTTTTTTACTACTTTCACTGTTGACCTTAAAAATCTTTTCCAAAGTTTTTCTTTTGTTACTGTGCTTAACTTTTCCTGTTTTGGAGGATTTCTAATCCTCCCTCAAGTTTTCCCTCATTTATCTGAAGCAGATTTTTTGTTGGTTGAATGTTATGCGTATATTAAACAGGCATCAGAGTTTTGTAATCAGTTTTATCGGACATACTTTCTGACAATTGAGCAAGAGATATTTGCTGTCTTGACGGACACTTTTCATAAGCCTGGGTTCAAATTACATGTCTTGGTGCTTCAACATTTGTTCTGTCTGGTACAGTTTCAAATCCATGCTTTTATTTTTGTCGTATGACAGTGATAAATTGCTGTTAATGAAGAATTTGGTGTTTTTCAGGCAGAAACTGGTGCCCTAACTGAGCCTCTTTGGGATGGTGCCACAAATCCCTACCCATACCCAAGTAATGCAGCTTTTGTACACGAGTTCACAATAAAACTTTTGAGCACTTCATTTCCCAACATGACTACTGCAGAGGTAATTGAGGAGAAACAACTAATGTATAGTCCCCCGTCCTTTGTTTGAATATTTGACTAATTTGCAAGTGTTTTGCAGGTTACACAACTTGTTAAAGGTCTCTTTGAGTCCACAAATGACCTCTCCACTTTTAAAACTCACATACGAGATTTTCTTGTACAGTCAAAAGAATTTTCAGCTCAGGTAATGCTTTATGCAGTACTGTTTGTTTTTCCTCCCTTTGACCAATCCAATAATTGATGGAGTTTGACTACTGCATCATGGTTGTGCTAACTGCTTTCCTATGAAACTTTTGCTTTTTTTGAAAAGCATTTCCTAACAGCTAAAATGAAATTAGTGTCTAAAAAATTCGTACGCCTAGCATAAAAGCACTTTGTATACTTTGTTTGGTGAATGACCAAAAAACTAACGTATTTTAAAAATGTAGCTTTATTAATTCCACAAGATGCCTGATATCTAATTCATGAATCATTGATGTAATCCTATGTATTAACGTCTGATGTTTGTGACTTGGATGTTTTCAGCAATTAAATTTTCTAACGTAACAGATGGTTAGCTTTTGCTTCAGCATCTAAGGTTTGTTAACTGGCCCTCTTTACTGCAGGATAATAAAGATCTGTATGCTGAAGAGGCTGCAGCTCAGAGAGAGAGGGAACGACAAAGAATGCTTTCTATTCCAGGTCTTATTGCCCCGAGCGAGTTGCAAGATGAGATGGTTGACTCATAGATTTAGGCTACACAATATGGGAGAGTTAGCACATTACACCTAGGGCATTTTGGCTTGTGTCATAGGAGCCTTTATTCAATCAAATACCACATGGTTTGAGAACACATGCAGCATTTTCCTCGTTAAAATGTAGTTTTCCCAATATTTCATGTTGGGACTGGTTTGGTATAGGTTCCTGATTTCAGAGGTTTGGCTGGCTGGCTGAAGATACTGCCTTGTCTTATTGGGTGAGTGTAGATTATTCAGTTGCTAATTTAGGACGTTAATAGTCATTTGTGAAAAACTCGTCAAGGCAGCTTTCCGTAGAATCATAGGATGGATGACTCAATTCTGAGTATTGATGAATCCTTAGGTATGATCTCCTAACCTCTGGTGGTTTGTGCAGAAAAACCCTCGTGGTTTGATATTTTGTATTTTTTTCACCAATTAATTTTAGGGGAATCGATGTGCCATGATTGCCTTTAATATATGATTTTCATGGTACTACTGTTGTAGATCACATGCTCCCATCATGCCTATCGAATGAAAAGATTTTATTTCTTTACCCCTTCCAGCAAATTAGTCTTTGCCAAATATTTTGTACATTGTTGAAAGTAAACAGGGAAAATCTATATTGCATCTTATTTATTAGTGAAACCGTAGGACAAGGTGAAGGTGGTTCAACATGTAGAGTATGAGGATGAGGATTGTATTTGTACAAGTGTTATGGTGGTCAATGAGTCGTGACCATTAATAGTTGTAAAAATTTCGTTCACTGCATGCACGCCCTTCGCCTTGCATGTAGAAACGCCGCTTGCTGGATGTGGTTGCCTTACGTTCTATTTCTAGGGTCTTACTGGTGTTGTTTCCTTTCCCTCAACGATGTTTGATTCTCCCTCGTTTTAACATAGGATTGGCATTGGTTCATTTGATTAAAGTTTTTCTTTCGGAAATTTAACTGTTTTTCCCAATAATTTTTCAGGGTTAAAGGTTATCGTATTTTAACATGAGGAGTTTAATTGAAATATAATCATTTTTATTTTTTGGATGATTAATTTTAGGTTCAAATATATTTTTAATTCTTTAAATTTGAGGTAAATTTATTTTTAGTCTTTCTGATTTAAATTTTTTTTGTAGCTTCTGTAATTTCAATAGAATCTTAAACCTTAATTTTAAGTCACATTAACGTGACTGTCGATTTCAACTAGGAAAAAAAAATGGCTTGTTTGCAATGAGAAACTATCTTAATAATTTTTTATATATGATTACAAAAATGTCTTCTATTTTTTTTTTTTTTTTGTGAAAGTAACGTTTTCCTTTCCTTTAATTGATGATTGTCAAAATTACTTTAACTCTGCGCAATTAAACATTATTTAAATTATAATTTGGACTGAAAAATGGTTTTAGATCTTGTAAAATTGGCATGTTTTAGTATTTTTCTATGTAATCTTTTTAATGTTTTTGACTTTGTAAGCCTTGTAATCATAAGTTTTGGTTTTCACGAATAAATTTTTGTCAAGTATTTTTTGGATATTTTTTTTCTATAATTTAAAGTATTTGTCATTAAGATACATTTTAAAATAAATAAATAATATTTAGTTTAAAGGTTTATAAAATAACATTACTAGTTTCATAAGTAGATATTATATTTTGTTGATCTAATAAAATGACCAAGCAGTTTATTTTTTAAAAAAATATTTATTATTATATCAAGACATAAATATTAGATGAAAAAAATACTCATCAGGAATGGAAAGATAGTTGAAGGAAAATTATGATATAAGAAATAAATTAACAAAATCAAGACAAAATTAACAACGAATGAGAAATTAGAAATAATGAATCTAAAATATAAATTTAGAGAGACTAAAAACTTATAATTTAAGACATGTATGTATTCTCCTTAAAATTAAAGATTATGAATACTCCCTTTAAATATATGTAGGTTAGCTATTGTATATAACAATAAGATATGATTAGATAATTATTATATCCCATCTTGTCATATTCGAACTACTAAACAAGTTCTAAAGGTAATTATTTAATTATTACATCTCTTTCTGTCATTTACTAACTACTAAACAAGTTTTAAAAGTAAATGCACATGATTTAGTAAATGTTTAGTAATATCAATTTGAATTAAATCGATATTCCATTATCTCAATTTTGTTTCATTTTTTCAACAATATTAACCTCTTTTGTCATATAAAAGTGATCATTTGATGAGAAAAATGTTTATTATTTAAGAGTATAATTAAGAAAAATATAATAACGAAACTTTGAAAATTTTAAATGTCAATTATTTGAGAAAAAAAATAATAATTAAAAGAGTTAAAATTTTGGGATGCAGAGAATATATTAAAATACAACTTGCTTTTTATATAGAAATTTATCAAAAAAATTTAAATCACATTTTTGTACTGTAGGATCTTTCATAATATGGGTGAGTTATTATCGAATAAAAATTAAAATTACATGAATTATAATTAATTATTTATTTTCTGATGATAAAAATAATATTTATAAATTTAACAAGGCCGAAAAAAAAGCATTTACCAAACCAAAATTAAAATTAATTAATATTACACAGACTAAAAATTATATTTTAAAAAAATTAACATAGCATCATATTACCGTTTATTATATAACTTAAAAGTTATGAAAAGATTTTTATTCGCATAAAAGAATTGGAAACTTTTATTTATAGATCTAAATTATAAACTTGAGTATTTCTTGTTCACTTTTTAGTACGTTTAATTGTTTTTTACATTATCAAACAAATAAAAGTTGTATAACGTGTGATTTTTAAGATAATTATTAAAAATTTAATAAATTTATTCTGAATAACAATATTTTTTTACACATTATAGTTATATTGAATTCAATTAAAATTAAATATTGTTAAAATTTTAATTTTTACATTTCAATATCATTTCTAGTATAGTTTTTAAAATATTTACTATACAGTCTTTTAAAGTAAATTTATTTTTAATTGTTTATATATTTTGAAGTATCTCATAATAAAAATAAATGATAAAAAGAATTTAAAGGTAATTATTAAATTTAAAGCTTTTTCATATAAAGCTGAAATTAAAAATGAATGTTATTATTTGACACCAAAAACATATTTTAGTTTAATAAATAAATAAATAAAAATAGAGTATTGTGTTTGTTTAGTGTTAAAGTTGAAATGAAATTGTGCCTTTGTTGGTTTTAGGTGCCACATAGGAAGAAAGTTCTTGGAAGTAAGGAAGAAAGCAAAAGGCAAAGGTTGTTTGGTTGATTGTTCAAAGTTGAAACCAAGTCTCCCTTTCTCTCTTTCTCAGCTGAATTTGCAAATTGAAGGCTTCCAATTTTTTCATTACTCGGCATGGGTCAAGCTTTTCGGAAGCTCTTGGACACCTTCTTCGGCAGCACCGAGATGAGGGTACGGTACTTCTTTTTCTTCTTCTGTTTCTGCTTCTTAATTTCTAAGCTGTCATCTCATTCAGGTTGTGATGCTTGGTCTTGATGCTGCTGGCAAAACAACTATTCTCTACAAGCTCCACATTGGAGAAGTTTTATCCACCGTTCCTACAATTGGTGAGTGGGTTGCCTCTTATTTTCTAATTTACATGCAATATTTCTTTTATTTCTTCTTGGTAATCTACTTGACTTTTGTTTCTTTGATTGCATGGATTTGAAAATTAGCAGAGTTGTGTATTTGACCGGTGAAGCTTTTCTTTTCTATGATAAAGCTGATTTTTACAGTAGGTTAGGTTTCTTGTGTTGGCAAACATATGCATGGATGTTGTGTTTCGAGTTTCAACTAAATCTAGTCTAGTGGAACAAAAGTTAGATGGGAAGAAGAATTGAGCCATAAGCAGGCAGTGTTTGTTAATTATCATTCTTCTAACCTTCCTTCTGTCTCTGCTCAATATCATCTTTTTCTTATTCTGCTAGCTCCAATGGTGGTGATTTCACTTGTTGTGTCCTACTAATTTTTCTGTGAAACTCTAAAGATGGACATGTTAATGTAGTACTATTTTAGTGATAGTTGTTGAATGTGTATGTGGCACTGACATGGATTGTTAATTTTGGCGAGCAAATGGGTCTATATGTTGTTTTTCTAGGTTTATAAAACTATATTGCCTTGCAGGTTTCAATGTGGAGAAAGTTCAGTATAAGAATGTTATTTTCACAGTTTGGGATGTTGGAGGGCAAGAGAAACTAAGGCCACTTTGGAGGCATTACTTTAACAACACGGATGGCCTGGTAAGAATTAATTTCCTTCTTTCACCATCATTAATCCGTCTGATAGGCCTGGAAGATAGGTCCATGGGAACAAGGTAGCAAGGTTGATATATTTGTTGTGTGCATCTATGCAGATTTATGTTGTTGATAGCCTGGACCGTGAGAGAATTGGTAAAGCAAAGGAGGAATTTCAGGTGATAAAATCGAATTTCACTTTCATATGTGTGTGTATTATTCTAAACAAACTTTGAATTGTTTTGTGTGTTACTTGCAGACAATCATAAATGACCCATTTATGCTCAATAGTGTCATTTTGGTGTTTGCAAACAAACAGGACCTGGTATGTCTTTGTTACTTTATCTGCATTTCTTCAGTTGCATGACCTGACGCTAAAGGAGCAAATGCATGTAATTGTTTGACATTGTTTACTGAATATACAAAGAGGGTGTCAGAAACTAAACTATTTTAGCTTGTTTAAAATATAATTCTACATATTGGTTTTAGGTTTTTATATAATCAATTCATTCGAACAATTAAAATCATATGAAATTAGTTAAGGGGTTTCTGAATTGTTATTACTGCTATCATCTTGTGTTAGAATATAAAACTTTTCATGCGCTAGTATGCGCATAACTAAAGTTTCTAGGATCATATAACTCTTGGGATGATGGTATCAAAGGCTCTTTGAACAACTGGTACTGGTCAGAAGTATGGTCCATGCTGGCATCGTTCTTAATAATTAAATTTCAGCAAATGGTGAAACTGGATATGTTTAGAGACATAAGGCTTTAAAGATAACCAGAAGTCCAGAACTAAACCATAAGGTCCTAGAGCCTTATCTTTATCGATACTTCAAAGTCTAAATAGCCATCCTGAACCCTTCTTCAAAGGGTCTAACTCTTTCCACACAACCTGTCTTCTTCTGCCATTCAAATATATGGAGTCATTTCTGCTCTTTCTTTTCCCTCTATTATGAGCGGACAATGATAATTGGATAATGCTATCCAATCATGCCAATTGCAGGCTTGAATTATTAACCTACACATATTGATTGTTTGATGGAGATATTAACGGGTTGAAAATATTTTGATATGTACCAAGTTGATGGCTGAAAGTAACTTCTGGAATTGATAAGATTTTGTTGCAAATATATACCAAGCATGTGGAAATAATGAGCTTTTTGGAATTCTTTTGTTCTCTGCTGGTTTATTGAGCTATATAAAATTAATTACTAATATCCTACAATATAGCAGACTTTTCCTCATGAACAAAATACTCGAACAATTTGAGTTTTGCTTGTGCCCTAGTGTGGTTATAATTGTTAATATTTTCTTTTTTCTTTGTAGAGAGGAGCGATGACACCAATGGAAGTATGTGAAGGACTAGGTCTCTTTGATCTAAAGAATAGAAAATGGCACATACAAGGCACTTGTGCACTTAAGGGAGATGGTCTTTATGAGGGCCTGGACTGGTTGGCTTCAACTCTGAAGGAAAGAAAGGCTGTTGGATACTCTTCAATAGGAACCTCATCCTTCTAATTATCTAGGTTTGAACTATCTTACTGTTCAATATTCATGAGTTACCTTCCTGTTTATCATCCCATCATTATTGGTATTGTATACTGCAGGTATTTTGGTCCTTGTCCTTAACGAATGAGTAGGGTTTGGCCACTTTCATTCAAGAATGTTGTAAAAATGTAATCAAATTTTTTGGGTTGGATTAGGTTACCTCTAGTTGATGAAGTACATAGATGCTTTGACTTTCAAGGTGCTTAGATATGACTTTGCTACACTGTATAGAAGCTTGAGCATGACGAATGAAAACTAATTTGAGACTCACGAATTCTATTGGCATATTGATGCCCCTGAATACATCCACGACTGTAGGTGGTGGTGGTGGTGGATATAACCCCATCCTTTTCTTTTTTCCAATTGTGTTTATGTAGCGTCCAAAAATATTGAGGTTGTGAAATTATCAAATTGGCATCACTATTTCTTCCGAAATAATTTTTCCGACGAGTTATGAAAATATCTACTTATAATCTGTGGCTGTTTGGGGGTACATTTTTGTTTTTAAGTTAAAATTTTAAAAAAACTACAACTAATTTTACTTTCTTTTGTTTTTAGTATCCGTTCTAATTTTTTAGTTTTAAAAATAATTCTACTTTGAAAATTTTCTGTCCTATTAAAATTAGTTAAAGAGTGTGTGGTGGTGGCGATATTGGTGATAGTAGTGTTAGTGATAGTGAGAGTAATAACCACAATGTTATTGGTATTGGTGGTAGTTATGCAAGTGGTAATACTAGTGGTGACATTATTAGTGTTGGTGTGATACCGGTGATGACGATGACAATAATGTCAATGGTGGTGGTGCAAGTAATAGAGGTGTTGCTAATGTCACTAGTGGTAGTGGTGGGTGGAAAGAGTTATCGTCAAATGTAGCAAAATTTTGTTTTTCTAATACTAAAAATCAAATTTACATTTTTTTTCTTTATCAAAATGAATGTAAATTATTTTTAAATTGAGTTAAAAATCATTTCAAACTTTTTTTCTTACTTTATGCATTTTTATAAGTTAGTTGAGTTAAATCGTTCTTGACTTATTTAAAGATATATTTTAATAAAACATTGTTGGATTGAGTTAGGTCATGTTTGATTTTTTTTTATTTGTTTAAGCAATGTCACTTAACCTTAATTAGGTTGGATTGAGGTTGGGAAATTAAGTCAATTAATTAAAATGTTAATATTTTTAGAAATTAAAAAAAATCTAGAAAATAAAAAATATTTAACAAATTAAAAGATGCATCAATGATTGAATATCCACTTTCCCTGTGCGTGTTCATTCAATGGAACGACGACTTTACTGCTTAGATAAAATTCATTAAAAAAATATAAAAAGCAATGCTCTCGTTGAGAGTCGAACTCAAGACCTCCCGCTTACTAAACGGGTGCTCTAACCAACTGAGCTACGAGAGCCACTGCTAGAGAGAGTACTATTTTATGTACATAAAATCAATACATTGTTTGATATAGGCAATGCTCGGCCATCAAATTAGCATATCAAACGTAATAGACAGTAAGAAATACTTTTTCAAGAAATTATTTTGGTCTTGTAAAAATAGAAATGTTATCAAACGGAACATCTACTGATAAATATGCATGGATTTTTGTGTACTTATACTTTTATTTTTCTTGACTGCAAAGGCAGGAGAGAATCTAATTTGTAAATAGATCGAAGTGAATTCTTAAAATTAAATGACTAAACTAATATATTTATTATCCCTTATATACTAGTAATAGAGAAATGAAAAGAAAATAAAAGAATTAGGGAGTTTGCGAGCGTCGAGAGAATCCAAATCCATGTAGTTATCGGTAGATATTCCGTTTTATAACATTTCTATTTTTACAAGACCAAAATAATTTCATAAAAAAAATCTTGAAAAAGTATTTTTTACTGTCTACTGCAGTTGATATGCTAATTTGATGGCCGAGCTTTTCCTATATAAATAACAACTATAGTATTAGTTTCTCTAACACAAGCTCTCGTAGCTCAGTTGGTTAGAGCACCCGTTTAGTAAGCGGGAGGTCTTGAGTTCGACTCTCAACGAGAGCAATGTTTTTTATTTTTTTAAATGAATTTTATCTAAGCAGTAAAGTCGTCGTTCTATTGAATCATTTACATTCTCATAATTTAATTCAGCAAATGTTTCATATTTTAGTATGGAACTCATTCTAGAGCTATTTATTTTGTTTCACCTCGCAAGAAACACATACAAAGTGCAAGAATTTTCATTGAATAATTTACACTGATGCTCAATTATATTTTGGTATGGATAACAAATCACGCCAGCACACCACACCAGACACAGTACAAAAACTCTCGTGTAATATTCACACAACAAATCCTAATTTTGACCTCGTTCCCTTCTTCTCTAATCCCAATAAATAATAATAGAAGCACCACCCAAAACTATAATATTACTTTTTCCCTCTCTGTATGAATGTACAACATAAAAGTACAACATTTCTGGCCTAGATAAAGAACTTGGCGATTTGACCAATCCATGTGATATCTGTATACGAGTTTAGTATAAATTCACCATCTTTCGTCTCCTATCCAGTTATTTTTCTCTTTTGGCCCTGTAGGTCCTTCCTCACCATACAGCTCCACTGGAAGCTTTTTAATTAAGTTACCAAATGGATTTCTAAACCTGGGGGGAAGAGCATTTATTATCTTATCCAGCTCAGTTTTTGAATCATAAACAATTTTAGGACCCCACTGTCTCATATACTGCAACCACTGAGGCTCTGTGACAGCATCTCCTAGATACTCGGCTGCAACAAGCTCGTATTGAACACTAGAATCCACATACAAATTACTACGAGTAGCATCATTCCTAATGCCAATACAAAGTTTTGAAGACCCTTGGATATAGGTTCCAGGGTGGGGGTAACTTGCATGCCCATTTTTTGATGAGTAGACAACAGCTTTATTGCCATCAACATACTCCAAGTCATAGGCATCCACCCATTTACCACCACTGTGCTGTGAGAAATATATACTCCACAGCTCTCCGGTGAAGTTGCATATACGAAGTGTAAAATGCTCCCAGTCACACACATGCTCTCCAACCTTGCTAAAGGCCATACTTGTAATTCCAAATTTAAGAGTGGAGGGTCCATTGAAGGGGCAAAACACCCACATAGCAATATCAGTAAAAGTCCCACCAAGAGCAGGCTTCACATGAACATATAGTTTTGCACTCTTCAAGTCCCCATGTTTGACAAAATCCCTTCTATCATCACTTGGCAAATCTATCCAAAACTCCCCATCATTTGTTCCCCCACCTGGCAAATTTGAACCAGATGAATCAATGGCCTCTCCCATGGACACGCCCTTTCGGTACAACAAGGCCCCATTGCTGAAAAACCAATCAACAGAAGAAGGCAAGTAAACTTCCTCAGGATGAAAGAAAACTGTAGGACCATAGTGCTCTATAAGTGCATGTATTTGGTGGAGGCGTGGCATTTCTGGCAGCACAGGATTTAAGTTCTTCAAGCACACAACGGGTAGCTCTTCTCCCTTGTTCCAACTGCTAGTGCAGAAAAAAGTCCCTACTGAAACTCCTTTCCCCAGCATACCACGGTCACTAGGTCTCAAACACCACACCTGAAACGGAAACTCCGGAATTACAGAAGCAGCATCAAGCATTAGCCGGTAAGGTTCCCATTTATCAGTGAGGTCAGTGCGAACACAAATCATTTCATCCAAATTGGGCTTGTCAGGCCTGTTAGTAACCAAGTAGCCAAGAGCACTGTATCCTTCAGGAGGCTGGGGCACCCAAAAATAAGCAGAACCAATTGTCACTTCCTTACTTCCTGCATTGGAACACCATACTAACATATAATCAAGGGGATTCTTCAAAGCTGGTAACTTGCCACTGTTTCTTGTTTCAGATGAACTAGTTTCCACCTCCCTAACAACAAGCACAAAACCCCATAAAGGCTTGTTGCTAGGTTGACAATAGTGTCCTACGATATGGAACCCATCTGGTACTCCTACAGGTTTATAGAATGCAACAGGCTTCCCAATGTTGCTGTGCCAAACAAACTCAAACCCAGTGACCTTGCAAACATCTAGTTCGCCAAGGTTTACAATTCCAGAAGCAAAACCTTGTTCTGTATTCACATGCACAAAATCACAGCATGGATTAATCTCTAATCTATAGTCACAACAAGTTCCCAAAACATGCTCCAATATTGTATTTGCAAAGTGGGTACAGTACATACATATCACATGCAATTAATTTCCAGATAATTATAAACATACACTCACTTTACACAGCCAAATCTTTTTTATTTCCTCCCTGTACAAAAAAAAAAAAAAAATCTTTTCCATCTTCATTCTATCTCATTTTTCTTCCTCTCTCTCAGTCTCTCTCTCTCTCTCTCTCTCTCTCTCTCTCTCTAGTTGCATCATTTATCACTTCTTAATCTCTCTCTCTTTTTATTTATTTATTTTTTATTTATCATCTCTCTCTTCTCTTCTACACCTATCAACTCCAAAATTAGTCCATCCCCAAAATTAAGGTGTAAGTTTAACATTTTCCTTAAATTATAATTTAATGAAGACAACTGTAAATTATGGTATTAATCATTAATCATATAATAATAATAATGATAATAAATTAGAAGATATGAAATGAAAAGTTTAGAAGAAAAGTGTGTGGGGAAATATAACCTTCAGGTCGAGGCCATTGGGGAATCGGAGAGGGAAGAGAAAAGATTTGAGGGAGAGTGACGTTGTTGTTCCCTTTCCAAGGAAAGCAGTTGCATCTGAAGCGAAGCATTTGAAGAAGACGCCACAGTTGCGGAGACAGAGAGACGCAATAGTATAAAACCCTCAAAAATCGTTGCTTCATTTTCAGATTAGAATTAGAATTAGGTCGCGCATTACCCATCATCATAAAAAATCACCAGTTGCAGAGTCTTTTTCCTTTCAATGTTTATTCAATTCGCGGGACCCTCTCTCTCTCTCTCTCTCTCTCTCTCTCTTCAACAGTAACAATAAGAAAGAAAGTGACTCATACTTGCGTGTTAATTGCTTCTCAATTATTGCTTCTTCCCTTCACTATCTTTGATTCTCCTCTCCTCTCCATTACCTTTTTCGTCTTTTCATTTCTCCCAAATTTCAGGAAAAGTGAGTTTTCCTCTGTCAAACTATTTCCTTTATCGTGTTTCTATGAATTTCACCTACCAGGTAGGATCCGCATAATGAGAAGAAAAAAAAAAGTCAACCCTAATCCTATCGCATTAGGTTTATGTTTTTTTAAAAATATATTTTTATTTTATTTTTAAGATTCATTGTAATCTTTTATATATTTTAAAAATATTTATATTCTTCATATTTTAATTTTAAATCAATTTGGTCATTACAAAATATTTAAAAAATTTAAAAGTTATGTGATAATATTGGGAACGATACGGTTTTTAAAAATTTTAAATCATATTATAAAATTAAAAACAATTAAGGTTTAAAAAAATTGACTAAAATTTTAAAAATAAAACACCAAAATATTTTTTAAAAATATAAAAGATTGAAAAAAATATTAAAAAATATAATTTAGATATTTTATAAATAAAAAATAGCTACTAATGTTTCCATTAGTACATAATCTTTATATTTATTACATTTTAAGTTTTGGTATAGACTTAAAAATGTGATTATTTTTATTATTATTATATATATATATATATATATCAAATTGGTAAACATTAAATTAAAGTGATAAAATATATTAAATTGATGTAATATGATATATCATGAGTTATAATAATGTTAATTATGTATATAGACATTAAAGTTAAGCTATAACATAAAAAATTATTAATATAAGTAGTTTATTAATTGTATTTTTTAACAAAATTTGATTACTAGTTTCAACATAAAGTTGTGATTTGAGGTAATGTTCCAACATGAATGTAGAATAACTCTATTCTTGGTTAATATATTATTTAATAATTAAGTTTGTAAATGATATGACTTATTAGTGGTGATTGATATTCTGATTAACGCTTTTGAACTCGTAAGGGTTATCATACGGATCTAATAATTTTTGTATAAGTGATTATGTATTTAGGCTTTTTTTACACATGATATTTATTTTTTTATTTCTTGGGACAATTTATTATAATTGCTATACGACCTTTTTTTTATTTAAACTTTTATGCATTTATTGCTTCATATTCCTACTCTAAACTTTATTCCTAAAAAAAGCTACAATTGGGAGTCAAGTTATTTTTTTTATGGTTTATCAATTTAATAGTTTGACCATCCTAATATCAAAGTAACCAAGTTGATCAAGATTTAAGTGATTAATCTTGATGTCTTACTTTGAATGGATAATCTTCAGTTCATTCTTTTTTATGATTTTGGATTTTTTCCTTTAAATTTAAAGATTATCTACCTATATTTGTATATATTGTTTGACTGACATATATTATCTAGCTCTAGTGATATGATGATCGAAATGATTAAGCAATCCCTTCCTTTGAATTCTCCTTTTCTTAATTACTAGAAGTTAATCTCAATTGATTTCTTCATTAAGAAGTTTTAAAGATCATTTAGATCTACTAGAGTCTTCAACTTTAGTTAGTTGAATTTATGAGTTGTTGATAGAGAGAGACAAATACAATAAGTATATTAACTTGATATGGTGACACTTTGCAAGGGAATATCAGCATAGCACAAGGGAAACTCAAAGTTTATTCTTGGGTTGAAAAACTATGGTCTTGCTATATTGTGAAGGCAAATGGGGACATAAATAACAATGTCTAGTTGGATTGTGTTCATCAATTTCTTTATTGTCGATGTTGTGGTGTTAAAGTTATTTTTTAATTGTTATTAATACAAAATATTATTTTAATTTTGTTGATAGTTAATCTTATAAGAAAATCTATCTAGTGTTTTTAGTGAAATTTATACTTTACTCAATCACATTTTTTATACACAAAATTTGAGCATGTATGAAACCTTATTTAAGAAAACCTAATCTGTCACTTGATTAAATATTTTATTAGTATATTTAGAAAAAAGTTACGTGGAACTAAAAATTTAATTTAATATTTCTTAAAAATCTCAATACACAATTTTGTTAAGGATTACTCCCTTCTCTATTATGAGAAAAAAAAAGTACATTTTTAAAATATAAATAAATTTAACTATTTTTGCATCATTTAATAATTAAAAAAAAATATTTATTGTTTAATGCATGACTTTTTAGTAGTACTACTTCTTTTAACATTTATAAGAAAGCTAATTTAAATAAAATCTTATGAGAGTGGTAAAATTTAATGTGAATAACTAATTTTTTTAATATGCATAAAATTATTATTTTTATATAAAAAATAAAGAAAATAACAAATAAATTGAATAAAACTATAATATCACATGTGGGAAAGCAAATATTTGGTGCAACCACCAACAAATTTGAGAGATGGTATATAGATACATCATACATGTATATATGTCCACTTGTTATTTTGTTACATATCATCTGTTATTTATATTTATCTTTTTTATTTATTTATAATTTTTCTTCTTTTCTCATAATATGCATGATACGGTTGCATGGTTGGCCCAAATTACAGGACTTCTTTTTGAAAATATTTAATTATTAGTTTTTTACTCGCAAAAAAAAGATATTAATTAAATATAATAATATTAATTTATATTAAGAAAGTAATTTTTCCAAAAACTAAATTAATAAAATATTGTACCGGTGGGTATTAATTTAATTAATTTATGATCAATTAAAACATTAAATAAAGTTAAGGATAACAATATAATAAAATTTATATCTCAAACTTATAATTACAAAATGTTTTAATATTTACTTTGGAGATAAAAAAATTTACTTTATTAATTATTCAAAATTTATTTTTAGAATGAGTTTTAAAATGTTATTAGAAAAAATATTATATATATATATATTAAATCACAATATAATTTTTTATATTTTATTATGTTTCAAAATATCAATATATTTAAATTAATTTCTTAAAAATATGTATATGGTGAATCCTCTAGAATAGTATCATGACCTCCATGGACCATATGTTAAATGTTAGCTGCATGATAGTGACGGAGCCCTATCTCGCGTGGCGGGCGTGGCTCATTTTCACTCCACATTCTCACCGCATACGTGGCTCAATGCTTGTCACCACACTCGTCCACTACCTTTTGACCACATTTAAAATTAGTTTCAAATTGTATATACGTTAAAAGAAAATACTAAATTATTATTTTTTGTTTTTTTTAGTTTTTATTTAATTTTGTGTCAACATGTATTTGATTTGTTAAAATTTATGATATTAAATACGATAAAAACTATTTTTTTATATTTGATTTACGAAAATATCATAAGATACGGGATAAAAAAAATTAGACAAAATTTATAATTTTTTATATTCAATAAATTATTTTTTATTTCAAATATAAAAACAGTATTATTATATTATCAATAATTGTCTATCATTTTTATTGTTGTCATATCATTATCGTCCATATAATTCATTACCTCCACCACAATTCACCATGATTATATCTTTATTCACATGTTGTTATCGTTATTACTATTATTCTTATTTTTATTATAGTCATCACATTACTTGTTAGCATTACTTCCATTAAGATAATAACAATCTAATATTAACAATTAATATTAAAAAAATGTTATAATAAATTTGTATTATTGTTTGTATTGCTCATTATTAACCAAATAATATACATAAAAAAAAATTATTTTGTAACTTGAACATTGTAGCATTACTTTTATCATGTACATTAATATGTATTAAACGCATCATAATATATGATTTTTTTGGTCAAACTAACGTCATTAATTCTTGTATGTTAGACGAGAGTTATAAAATAGTATTAAGTGGTGTGAAGGAGGGACAACGATAAAAATAGAGTGAGTTCAAATTCATCCAACTTTATTTGAAAGAAAACAAAATCATGTCATATCATTTTAAAATTATGAAATCAAATTAAATCAATGAATGTACAGAATAATTTAATTTAAAAAAATTATGTCGAATACTTTCATAAGGACTTTGATTCTTTTCCTTTTTTTTATAATTTTTTTTATATATTAGAGTAATGTATCATCACATACAAGAGTGTTAATCATAGACTTCTTTACAAACTTTTTTAAATGGTATCTTTTCTTCTAAATATGTATTAAAAGAAAAAAGAGTACAGTTTTTACGTTAATAAATATTTTCACACTCTGATGTATTATAAATTTATTTTTAGATAAATCTTTTAAATATGTCATTTTATTTTTAATTCACTTTTAGTTAAAATTAATTTCATAAAGTAAGATTGTCCTAAATCAAAGTTGGTAAATAATCATCCAATCACTCTGTTTTTGGTGCCAATCCAATCACACTCCGTATCTTACTTTTTCAACCTCTAAATTGCACCATAAATTTGCCCTTTCAGATCATCAATTTTGATCCGTATATGACATGAATTGTCAATCTATCATTATCAATATTCAACAATAAATTACTAAAATTTGTGGGACGTAGGTGATGTAAGAGGAGCTTTTGCTCTTTCCTTTGCTAAAAAACCAGGAACAGATATTTATATTTATAGTATTTTTGGTACGTGAAGCAGATTTTTATATTTTATAGAATTAAGGCCTCACATAATTTCTCCCATAATAATTCAAAATATTTGAAAACTGGCTACAACCAAACCTATTTACCCAACGAACGAACGAATAAGGGTTAAACTCAACCACTGTATAGAGTTTGAGACAAATACATAATTGTACTAAATATTTTAAAAACAAAAGTTTTTCAATTGTAATATATCTATCTAATTCAAATAAAATTGTTTTCAGACAGTGTTATATCAAACAAATAGAGTTAAGTCAATTTCTTGAAGTTATTTTTTAAATAATAATTCATTTTGAAGTTACAAATACTACATGCTAATGTTTGTCTTAATTTAACATTTTATACACATTGGCTATTATTTTTTAATTATCAATACTTTTTTTTTAAATTAAGATTTGTAATATATAATATTTTTGTAGGACAGTTATTTATGGCCCAATCCCCTTCTAGAGTCCTTATCCACTAGAACCCGAACCGTTGGAAAGAAAGCAAGTGGTGACGACTGACGAGCGATGCACTAAAGGACAAAATGAGATTTCAACGAGGCAGCCATAAATTCCTTTTTTTCTTTCCTCCAACCACTCATTCTCTCTCTCTTTCGCCATTTTCCCGGGAAAATAACTGCCTCTGCCACCGTCACTATATTCACTTTACTAACAACTATGAGCTTGAGCATGAGCATGCTCTCATGCCAACGCTCCACAATGCTAGCAGCACAAAACAAGTCTCCTTTTCTTCGCCGATTCCGATTCTTCAAACCTCACCGTTCCAGATTTCGCTGTTTGCTTCACCAAATCGCTGTTCCGACGTCCCTGGCACCAGTTCTCACCTCCGATAACGTTATCGCCGCCGCCGCCAAAGCCGCCTCCGTCCATAGCGCCGTCTCCTCCGCCATCACGCAGGTTGCCGTCACCGCCGTCGCAATTGCTTCCGGCGCTTGTCTTTCCACCAAGGTTGACTTCTTATGGCCAAAACTGCAGGAGCAACCAGGTTCTGCAACTTCTCTTTCTGCTTTCGTCTCTTTATTTTATTTTATTCTATTTTTTTGTTCGCTTGCACGGTTACGCTTCAGCTAGAGAGGTTGCTAATTTGTTGACCTGATTTCTGATGCTAAATGATACCGTCGCTTAGGCGCTTATGATTTGTTTTTTCTTCAAGAATTTGAGGATCGAAGACTTTGGCTGTAATTAATAGTTCTTTATGGACGATGCTCAACATAGAAATGAGATTCCTATCTTTAAAAAATAGGAAGTGATTTACGATGACAATAACTAATATTTTTTTAGTAATGTTTAAGAGATATGTTATCGATTTTATTTATATCTAGATATGCATCGTACAATTATCAATTTATCATATCTCGTATATTTTTTAGAAGTTGTGTCATCATATTTATTATGTATTGAGCATCATAGATAGAGGCAGTTTGTGTTGTATTTCTTTTTCGGTTTTGGATTTTTTTTCCTTTGTAACAAAACATGTTTGAGGTGGAGCATCAAGTCGTATCATCAAATAATGCTGATATTGAATGTGATATGCTATGATTGATAGTTCTTAGCATGCGTTAGGAATTTCCTGTTGCAGCTTCTGTCATTACATGATAGGGTTAGTCTACTGATTAGTATTCTCTTCCATGTTTCCTATATTAATAAAATTTTAGCATGCAGGTACTATGATGCAGGATGGAGTAGATGTTACTGGCTACCCTATATTTAATGACGCAAAGGTTTAATATCTCTACTTGTGTCATACTAATGTTCTCTTGTTACATCATTAAAATACCTTATGTGTGAAGGCAGGTACAGAAGGCTATAGCTTTTGCAAGGAAAGCACATCGTGGCCAAATGCGGAAGACAGGAGACCCTTATTTAACACACTGTATCCACACAGGAAGAATTTTGGCTGAGTTGGTTCCATCAAGTGGTAAACGAGTATGAACTCCTCTGATTAGCTAATAATGCTAACTTGTGTAATATATAGTTTTTTCACCTCCTGGAAAATAAAGAAGGCATTCGCTGACTCCTTTTTCCTTCTGCATTCTATGACACAACGATTGTTCATTTTCATAGAATATTTTCAGCAACCTGGTATTTTCATAATATATGATATAATTTTTCTGGGGAAATATTTTCAAAATTTCCGCTGTTTCCACTACGCATCCCATATGTTTATAATGCATCTCAATTTCTATATTGATTAAAAAATTATCTAAAATGTTATTTTTATTTTTAGATCAAATTAAACCTTTGACCTCACTGAGACAGCTAAATTGAACCTTTATTAATCTGAACTGCAGTTAGTATGACATTTATGTAACACATGAACTTTTATGTTACTATTTTCATGGTTCCTAACAGTTCCTTTGTTTGAGATTTCGATACTCTGTTTCAGGCTGTTGACACTGTTGTGGCTGGTATTTTACATGACGTGGTTGATGACACTTGCCAAAGTCTGCAGGACATTGAGGCAGAGTTTGGGGATGATGTGCTCAAGTTGGTAGCCAGTGTTTCAAGATTAAGCCATATTAATCAGGTACCTAAAGAATGTCTCTTTCTAATACATTTTTATCTTGAAGGAGGTGGGTGGCACATTATAGTTTGCTTGGTAGTTGTTAGATTTCAATTTGTTACACACTTAGAGTATAAACTTTTACTTGCTACTGTTGTAGTTAGTTGGTTAGCTGTTTGAGATTTGGTAGAATCCGTTCTCGGTCGTTGTTAACAGAGTGACAGGTGTTCTGTTTTGTTAGATTTGTTTCTGACTGACAGGTGTCAAGCTTGTAGAGTAGCTTCTATTGTACTCTTTAGCAGCTATATAAATAGTTGCATCTTCTTGTACTAAAAATTCAGATAATCAATATACTTTCATTTTCTAAAACACACCTTGACTTAAAGAACGATATAAAAGCACTTGTATGCATTCATCTTACAAAATCATTCTTAAGATTTTGGTTTGTATTGGTCCTTGACATAGTATTGAAGCCTTGATTACCTAGCTGCCCTATTTTTCATAATTGAAATAAATTTCAATATAAGTTAATGTGAACCTGTAAACCGTTTTCAGTATGCACCTAATATCTTATATTTTTTTTAGGACTGTTGGTCTCTAACATTTATATCTTATAATTATTGCATGACTAATTAAATGTTTATTGACATATTATAATTATCATTTATACCTTAAGAGTTTATTTACATATTATGCTGTTTCATCATATTTGTATATTAGATGTTTGAAACTCAATCCTCCTAAACTCTGTAGATTATCACCATTTTCTTTAATTACTCCATTATTTAATAACTGCATTATCTTTTGCAGTTATTACGCAGACATCGGAGGGTAAGTGTGAACCAGTGCGTCCTTGGACAAGAAGAGGTACATAATCTGCATTTGACATACGTATCAATTAGCTACTGATAAGTATACTTTGCTATCATGTTAATAATCAGTATAAAATATACTGAAAAGCCTTCCTAACACGGTTTGAATAATAAATATCATTCTTTTTCTGCATTATGGATATTTGATATTTTTTCTTATAGAAGCTAGGGTTGGGTAAATTTTATGCATAATATGTTTAATTTTATGACACTGAAGATTCCACAAAACAGGTTGATGCAACAACTTTTTTTAATTTATTATTATTATTTTTATTGTATTTGATGGTTGGTCAAGATAATATTGAAACTATATTTTTTTTGAGATTTGCAAAACATGATATATTGGATGGTGGAATTAGCAGAGTGGAGTTTTCTGATATGCTACATTCTTAATCTGCTAGGCAAGTAATTTAAGAGTGATGCTTTTGGGAATGGTTGATGATCCACGTGTTGTGCTCATCAAGCTTGCAGATCGTCTTCACAACATGAGAACAATGTATACTCTGAGCTTCTTAATTCTATTCCCCTTTTGCCCAATTATTGTTGGTCTTCTTTATTTTCCCTTTTTTGTCCTTTACTTCCGGTTTGTTCTTCTTTTAAGACGAAGGAAAAAACTATTTTAATCTAATCAGTTTCTCGATCCTTCATTGTTGTCGGTAGTGAATGTTTACTTCCTTGCTATAGAAACCATCTTTAACCATCAAACTTAAAGCCATACACTGCTTTTGACTTTTTTGGCTAAACAGCTTATAAGTTTAAAGTACGTTGCATAGTTCATTTTAATGGGTGACAAACTGACAATCTATCTTTGCAGTTACGCTCTACCACTGCAAAAAGCTCAAGCTGTTGCAGAGGAGACCTTAATCATTTGGTGTTCACTTGCTTCAAGATTGGGTCTGTGGGCGTTGAAAGCTGAACTAGAAGATTTATGCTTCGCTGTTTTACAGGTATTCTAACAGTTTCTATGTTTCTTTTGCTTTGAGAGTGATCAGTTATAATGATCATCACTTGAAGACCTAGCTTTTTGGGTTGAGTTTGGACAAAATCCAAATTTTAAGATGGTACAAGGATCTATTTTAACTATTGTTGTTAGACTTATTGAATCACTCATTATTAGACCATTATTGAACCACTCACATCTGTCTAATCATGCAAACTTCATGTTCAAAATAGTTGTGTGGGGGGGGGGGGGGGGTAGAGATCCCACATTGGCTAGTATATGACCAAATTGCACAAGAGCTAGCTTTTAAGATTGAGTTAGAATCAAACACAAATTCTAAGCATGACTTGGGCATTATTACAATTTTGACACTTAACACATCCATGTTTGTATTTGTACCTTTATACCAATCTCAAATATTTCAAAAGATGCAAGCTGTTAACTAATACAGTTAATCAGTTAATTTCAATCAGTTCAGTTGATTTGGCTAATCATAGTTAATTATGGATATATTTAACTAGTATAGTTAATTTTATATAACCAAATTGCATTGGGTGCAACCCTCATCACAAGAGCTAGCTTTTAAGATCGAGTTAGAACCAAACACAAATTCTAAGGCTTGACTTGGGCATTATTATAGTTTTGACTCTTGACACATCCATGTTTGTATTTGAACCTTGATACCAGCCTCAAATATTTCAAAAGATGCGAGCTGATCTGGCTTCTATGTGGAGTCCTACTAGCAGAACAGGAAACTTGAGGAGATTCTCTGTAAAAGGCAACTTGATACCTTTGAACGAGAATGCTTCAAATTCTTTCTACAATGAATCATTGACATTCAATGAGGACGTAAGTATGAAGGTATGCATCATGAGAATTAAATTCTGTTGTATGGTTGCCTTTGGTAGTTTCTATCTCGGTTATGCCGACGCTTAGTGACAATTTACACCAAAATCCTTGTTTTATGCCTTGCTGTGTGATATCAATGAGCAAAAAATAATTCAATAATTATGCTATTTTTTTAATATATATTTTTGTCTTTTTACATGAAATTCTTAATTTATTCTACTAAAATTTTGAAGCAAAATGATTGAGGAACTGGGGGAAGGCATATGAAGTATGAACTATGAAGTGATCCTATCTTGACTTATTCTTAATATCCTGATTGCAGCTCATTAAGCAAAAATTAATATTTAAGTTAGAAGGTTACTCAACATATTTGTTTAAGTCCTTACCATTAAATATATTTGGTTCGAAGTATTTTATGTTTGCTGAAAAATATAAAGATAACTTTAGGTGGCGATCTGAAGTGTCTCTGGTTAAACCCTTGGCCTGTTTTCTCCAATGCTTATCATTGATGGTTTTGAGTAATTACTATTCATTGCTTCAAAAAGTCTTGGGAAAGGATCTGACAATTTTTTCATTGTAATTACATTACCTCTTTTATTTATTTATTTTATATTTTTTTTACTTTCCAGGATCTTTTGGAAGCTGTAGTACCATTTGATATATTGTTGGATCGGAGAAAACGGGCTAACTATCTCAGTAGTATTGGGAATAATCTAGAGACATGCACGAAATCAAAGGTTGTTCATGATGCTGGGTTAGCTTTGGCATCATTGGTAATTTGTGAGGAAGCACTTGAGCGAGAATTGATTATATCAGCTTCGTATGTTCTTTTTGACCATTATCATTTACCACTTTTACATTCTGGTATTGTCCATGACAAATGCATGCTGAACTATATTTTTGTGTTTTATGCAGAACTGTCAACTGCTGAATACTATAATGCTATGGTGTAATCAATTTTATAGTTCTTAAAGGTTTCTTGTGTTTTTGCAGTTATGTTCCGGGAATGGAAATTACATTATCAAGCCGATTAAAAAGCCTGTATAGTTTATACAGCAAGGTATTGGTGAATTCATGTTTGACCTTTGAAATAAGAATGTATTTTCTTGTGTTTCAGCTAAACTCACTCTGCAATTGAGTATAACTGGCACATTATATGAATGGTCAGGATAGTTTGATTGGAGCATGATGCTAGTGAATAAATATGCATATGCGAAAAAGCTTATTTTAAAAATTGTTAGGGTGCACCAAGGGGGGTACTTAGTACACATGTCTACATTGGTATGGTATTATCCATTTTGAGCATAAACACTCATGATTTTGCTTTTGGTTATTTCTCAAAAGGTCTCATATCAATGGAGCATGTGTGTACTTTATAAACCCATGGTTATGCTCCTTTGCAAATGATGTGGGGGACTTTGGTTGCACTTTTTCAACAAAAACCTTGTTCGTAAAAAGAAAATTGCTATGAATTCTGCGAGTACCCTAGAAAATCTTTTTGTTCTAAAATTTTGTGAGCTTAGTTCATTCACACCAACCACTTCTTTAATGTGCGAGCAAGAAGTAGTTTTGGAATGACTGTGGAGTTACTAACAATTTATGTGCAATGTGCATTAATAGATACCCCTCCCTCAAGAGTCAAAACACTCCCCCAAACTAGCATCTAGGCTTTTAATGTTTGTCTTTATTTATTTTTGAGTAAATCACACTCACTTCCTATGTTTTTTTGAAATTGCACCCAATGCACTTTTATTATTTGGACCTCCAGTCAGACCTCTTAAAAGATGTTACACTCACGCCCCCTATGTTTTTTTAAGATTGCATCCAACACCCCTCTGTTATTTGGATCTACAATGAGACCTCTTAAAAGTTGAAAAGATGTTACACTTGCATCCTTGTGTTTTTTCGAGATTGCACCCTCCATTATTTGAATCCACAGTGAGACCTAGTTGAAAAAAATATTACACTCGTATCCCTATGTTTTTTTGAGATTCCACCCAATACCCTTCTGTCATTTGGATTTACAGTAGGACCCCTTAAAAGTTGAAAAGATGTAAAATCAAATTGGTTTTATGTTGTAAAGTTACTGACAACCAGTCAAGCTTTGGGATCATTGATTCCAAAATTCCAACCAACTTTCCTTAGTCTGAAAATCTAAAAATGTAAACTTTACTGAAGTTGCTTTTGTTTCAAAAGCCGTTGGTTTTAATGGAGAAGGTGAGTGGCATTTTTGGAAGAAAAATTCATTAAAAATCAGGTGCAGGTCATATGATGTGAATATGTTAACAAACTTGACACTATTTGTGGATCAGGGGATAATATAATATCTTTTCAACTTTTAAGGGGTCTCATTGTAGGTCTAAATAACGGAGGGATTTTGGGTGTAATCTCGAAAAACCACAGAGGGTGAGTGTAATGTTATTCTTTATTTTTTCTTGTGTTGGTGAATGTGACAAAAACATTGAATCACTTTCTCTTTGGCAAAGATTTTCATAGTATGCATGATCTTACCTGGGTGTGAATCTTGCATTTGCTGCCTACTCCAGTCGTGATGGATGTGGGGTGTGCTAGCCAAGACACTCAGATACTTAAGTGAGCAAGGAATTTAGCAGGTCTATGAGAATATGAGCGGGATTGTATAGTCAGAAACCTCCTTATATAGTTTTGTAGTGTTGCACCTTCTTAAAATAAGGCAAATAGTATCAATGGGGAAGTTCTAGCCTTATAAGGACTTAATATCAATCCAGGTCCCCCTATGATTTTGGAATGTCTGAGGTAGGTTGGTCATCTGAGATTCCCATGTATTTAGGAAGATCTCTGATAACAATCCAGAACAATGCCAATTCCTTGGTCCATCTACTTTCAAAATATTCTGTCTCAAGATCAACTGACAATTAAGTGTATGGAAGCAATGTGAGTGTATGGAAATGAATTTCTAGAGGTTCCTAACTATTAGTTCTAATATTTCTTTTATTTTACTATATTCCTCTCTTGTCTTAATAATATGATTTTATGCAGCTAGCTTTAAATGCTTTTCTTTCCTACTGAGCGATGATAGCACTAGTGATCTTAAATTTTTGTGGATATCACTTTGTAATAATTAATTGAATGGTCAAAGTCATGATTGTGCTTTGTGTCGTGTAGATGAAACGAAAGGATATAAGCATTGATAAAGTATATGATGCACGTGCACTAAGAGTAGTTGTGGGAGACAAGAATGGAACTTTACATGGTCCTGCAGTTCAGTGTTGCTATAGTCTTCTTGACATTGTACACAGGTAAAAAAAATGGTCCAATTCCAGACTTAATTCAATCCTATAACCTATACATAAGTCATTCAATGCAATCATTGTATGAAGATATAAATATAAGCTTAATAAACCTTTTCTTCATGAAATCATTCAATGCAATCCTATATTTTTATATTTATATTTTTATTTTTTTAATTCAAGGAAAGAAATCCTGAAAAGAAAAAATAAAAAAGCAGCACAGAAACAGAGGATGATAAGATATCCTCCTAGGGAGGAAACCATGAAAAAACCCATCAACTAAATTAACCTCTTTTATATTTCCATCCTTTTCATTTTTAGTCATTTTGGACTGTCTGTGAGCTGTCTTCATTATTTAAGAGTGGGAGGTTAGAGATGTATAGATCTTGGGGATCTTTTTCACTTCATTAACCCTGTTGGCCTTGAACAATGGCTCTTAACTGATACGTATATTTTATATTTGACTATACAGGCTTTGGACTCCAATAGATGGTGAATTTGATGACTACATCCTTAATCCAAAGCCTAGTGGCTATCAGGTTAGGCTTTTGGGTTCATATTTTTCATGAAATAAAATTAAAATGATTTTGTTCTTCTAGTCTTAGGAATTGTGCTTATGATTGTATTAACTTGTAACAAATGCAGTCCTTGCACACAGCAGTCCAAGGTCCGGACAACTCACCTTTAGAAGTACAGATAAGAACACAGGTGCTGAGTTATTTCGCATATGTTTCGCAGGTTACTTGTGTATATTTTAGTTCTTGATGTTTTCATTTATCATTTTGGTTGCTAGAGGATGCACGAGTGTGCTGAACATGGACTTGCCGCACATTGGCTTTACAAGGAAACTGGAAATCCTTTTTTATCCATAGACAGCATGGATGAACCTGAAACAGAAGCATCTTCCTATTTCTCTAAAGATTTAGAAGAAGGAAGTTCTTCGGATATTTTTTTAAGTAAATATAAGTCGTTGAAGGCTGGTCATCCAGTCCTCAGAGTAGAAGGAAGTCACTTACTTGCTGCCGTTATCATTAGGTATGTAACACTTTCATTTCTATGGATCTTATGTTCAAAACTATGCTAACTGATTGTTTCTCATCTTTATTATCATTTCAGTGTAGAAAATGATGAAAGAGAATTGCTAGTTGCTGTGAGCTTTGGGCTAGCAGCTTCTGAAGCAGTTGCTGACAGAAGATATTCTTTCCAGATTAAGCGGTGGGAAGCTTATGCACAACTATATAAAAAGGTTTGCTTCTTAAATTAACATATATTGATATATGGCTTGAATATAAATGGCTCGTGATGAACAGTTTGTGGAAAGGGCACGGATTAACTTATTATACTTGATGAAAAGACAATGCCTCTGGATGAATCACTGTATGTGGTAGTTATGTGTACCAACTAGCTACATGCTATATTGCCCTCTCAGAGTGACCAGCCCTTGCTGCTGTGTCATCTTTTTCTTGGCTTTGTATTTTAAATTTTAATGACCTGATCAGATTGCTTTCTGTTTACCTGCTTCAGGTGTCTAATGAATGGTGGTTTGAACCAGGACATGGGGATTGGTGTACTTGTCTAGAGAAGTACACACTATGTCGAGATGGTATGTATCACAAGGTAAGTTTTTTCTAATCAGTTGAGAATATAAAATTATGTACTGCCTTTTAGTTTTCATTATTTTTGATTCTCAGCAATATATGTGGTGTAGTAATTACTATGGAGAAACTAAATTTATTTTGGGTAGTCTTTTGTTAAGTCAATATTTGATGGCTTAACATTGACTACTAAGTGCCAAGTAATCCAGCAAATTTTTATAAAAGAGCTTATTCTCGTCTTGTTTAGAAGTGATATATATACAGATTGGATACTCCAATTTAGGAAATATTATTTATGTCCTCAGGTGGCGAAGAAAAACCAGATTTACGTGAACAGTGTGAATATTTTATAATTAAAACCAACATTATATCCCTGTTCTTAAATAATAAGAAGCTGTCCTGATTACATCTAGCTATTTCTCTGTATCCATATTCTGACAGTTTTTGGATTTTTATCAGTTACGTCATACTATATCATTTGTATCATTTTTTTCCTTGTTTTGAAGATAAATGATTAATGTCTGTCTCTATGATTTGCAAATGCCACATGATGGATATAATGAATGTTTCTGAATTTAAATTGTATCTGTTATTAAACTCATTAAATGATGTGTCATTATATAACAAAGTAGAATTATTTTACATTGACAGTGCATTGAAACATGCTGACTGCTTTCATTACTGGTTTTCTTAGACCTGTGATGGGGTTTTAAATTATCAGACTGCTTTATTGAAGAGCTTTATATTATTATTTACATGATTCGCAGCAAGACCAATTTGGGCGCCTACTCCCAACATTCATCCAGGTTATCAATTTTACTGAGCAAGAAGAATCTGAATATTGGGCTGTTGTATCTGCTGTGTTTGAGGGCAGGCAAGTGGATTGTATAACGTCTCAGTCAAAATTTGACTTGGTTGCATCAACTTCTGGGGAAGCTAGCATCAATAACAAGGTTTTTTGGCAACCATCTTACCTCTCTTACACACTGCAAAATGAAAATTGCTTGTCTTTGTTTACCTCTGTTTTGTTTTTGTGTCAAAAATCATTGCCATTCAAATAGTATAAATAATTTTTTTCTTTATTCCATGATATGTAGATGGTCATATTAGCTCCATGAGAATAATCTTCTAGTTTGATTCTTCATGCCATATAAATTTGTCAGTGCCAGTAATTCAGAAGCTGAAAAGTTGTTGACCCAGTAATCTGAAATTAGCTCTACCCAAAGCCAAATCTATATTTTTTTGCAGATCGTTATTTATATTTTTGGCAATGATTGTAGTTGCAATTTTAAAAATGCAGTTAAGATGGTAGAAATCAGCTAGTCTAATATGCTAGTTGGCCAAAGTGTAGGTATGAAAGTGTTGTTTGTCTGCAGCCATGCAAATTGAAAGTTGATATTTTATCCCCCGGCGCAGGATATTGTAGTAGATTTATGAAATGTCAATGAATGTTCCAGTGACTATAATTCATCTTTTAGGTACATCTTTTGAGAACAATGCTTTCCTGGGAAGAGCAATTGCGCTCTGAAGTAAGTATCAAGCAAACAAAGAATGATGCAGAACTTTGTGATCTTCGTGATTCTCTTGGGGAAGTGGTAATCATATGTTGGCCTCATGGTGAAATTATGAGGTTAAGAGCTGGTAGCACTGCTACTGATGCTGCTCAAAGAGTTGGTTTGGAGGGAAAGCTGGTTTTGATTAATGGACAGTTAGTACTGCCCAATACAAAACTCAGAGATGGTGATGTTGTTGAAGTGAGAATTTAAATAATTCGTTCTTAAAAAAATGTAAATAATTATTTAATGGCCGTATGTGGTTAAAGTAGATGGATGGAAATAGTTTTTTATTTTATTTGGGGATGGGGATTCTTGGTATAGTTAGGTACTTTCAAGCAAATTTTAAAATATGGTGGCTTTACACTTGATTCCAAGAATATGTTGGATAACCACATCTTGTATTATAATTACTTTTTTGTTAATATGTTGGTTGTATGTGTGGTTATTACGCATTTTTGGAACTATGGTTATTCACTGTATTTGGAATTAAGCATTAAACCACTGCATTTTAAATTTTGTTTGAAGCTGCAATAATTTTATCAAGAATCTTCGGAAAAGAGCGGCAATGCCAGGAAAATGCCATTGCCGTGTATTTGATTGTTAGAAATAGTTGTATGATACATTTAGTTTTATAGCAAAACGCAGGCTTAGGATTGATTTCTAATGTACAGCCCTTAAAGCATGGTTCAGTATAAAATAACAGTTCCAGCAGTGAATTTCAGCATGCCGTGATGTATTTTCCTTTTCAATGTATTTCCACCAAAGACTTCTCATGGCAATTGCATGATCTTATGCACGAACTCCGTAGGTTTGGATGATAACCCTCCTTGTAATATATATGTTATCACGTATTTACTGTATTCTATTTCAAGAGAAATTGCTACAGTAAAGTTTCTGGACAGGCATCCATTCCCCTAAATCATTCCAGTGAGAAGAACCACCTATTGCTGACTGTTCGCTATTACGGCAGGGCTTCATGCATAAGGATCCTTTCTGCCTCAGGGTGACAGACTAGCTTGTTTTATTTTGCATCTTTTTACAAATGTCTGGTTTTTACATACAAGATAGACGCTAGTCCCCATATAGCTTATCATTTTCACATTTCTTATGCACGTTTGGGCATTTGATGTAGAGTTAGACACTTCTCTCTTATTGGTTAAGACATTATTGACTTCACTAATTTGGGAATGAAACACATCAAATGAAAAATAGGACCTATTTATTAGTTATGACCTATATGTAGTATGACCTATATAAATTCCACTGTATAGGATAGTGTTAATATCGATTTTTTAAGATTGAGATGAATAGAAATATAAAGTAAAAAAAAAAAAAAAAAACTTGAGTGAGAATGAAAAAAACATTACTATGTTTAAAGAATGAATTTAACTTAAAAAATATGAATATTCAGTATAACAAATCATATTTAACCGTTATGCAATATCAAGTCATTGAAGGTACAATAAAATCCAGCTCAAAAATATACTAAATGTAATTTTAAAAGAATCTAAACATTTTAAGCATTTGGTTGAGAGGACTTCTTAATATCTATCCTAAGTGGTTTTTTCCTTGGTGAGTTTTTGCCAAAAGAACAATTTTATGTAAATTGTTAATCATAAAACAAACCTATTGTTATTGCTGTTAGTAGTAATAGTAAAAAAACAAAAAAAAAAAAAAAAAGACGTTGCATTTACTTCATTTAAGCTGCTTGCGAAGATTTTACTTCGCTTTAGGTGAGCGACGGAAAGAAAGTAGAAACTCTCCAAATAATAAATGTGCACTAATTTACTAATAAATTAAGGCAAAGAGACAAATGTACACTATTCCCTTAAAAGTTGAGTTATATGAGAATTAGGCTTAAAGTTTAGAACTGTATAAATTAGTCTCCTAATAATTCTAAAAGTTGCAAAATAAACCTGTCAAGAAAATCATTATCGGATATTGTCATGAAACGCCCGTAATTAATCTAGTTTAAAAATAAGAGTCCTGTATCTCCAATAGCTAAAACAAATACATGTAATTTGGGATGAAGCACCAATTTTTTATCATCTCTTTCCACACAACCTGCTCATCTAAGCAAATAATCATCGCTAAATAAAGCGGTAACACGTCTATCATACATTACAGCTGCCTGCTTGCAAGCAACGTGATGGCATATTACCCCCACAAGCTTCTTGGACATCAACTTATATAAATATTATTATATGGGAATATTTTTATTAAATGGCTACGATCATATATTAAAAAGAGGTTAAACATTTTTTTTCTCCATAAATAACTAAAATTTTGTTTTTTTGTCCTTCATTTTTAAAATGACTTTTGGTTTTCTTTTTTATTTCATTTTATTTTTTTAAGATGTGTTAAATTATATCATTATTACAAATTCTGATAATCTAATTTAATGATGATTTCCAATCCCTGAAATTGTCATACACATGCTAATTTAAAAGTAAAAAAATGGTAGTGTTGATTAAATATCGTTGTTAAATTGAATTAACAAAATTAGTGACCAAAATAAAATTTGACACATTTTACAAAAAGAATGACCAAAAATCATCATTTATAAAAATAACAAAATTTTACATATTTATGGAGAAAAAAAGTGTTTAACACTATTAGAAAACTTTTAAAATTAATATCTTCATTAGAATATATCAAAAAAGAATGTTATGTCCTGAGGCTGAACGATATTTCTTCCTGCTCATAATCAATTTCCATTATTTGTATGTAAGAAAGAATCACAGAAAGGAATGAAATGTCTGATTCCCAAGACAAAAAATAGCACTCCTGTAGCTAGCGGGAACTAATTATCTACAATGAATTATCTATGGTATCATTCCAGTATAACACATGCAGTACCGAGACGGGATAAGTTATAGAACCAGCATAAAAATCAATAGTTCTATTTGGTGCAAGTTTAACTTCAAGGGCCCGAAAAAAAAAAAAGATAATAAAAAGCCTAGCATGGGTGTCACGGTATGGTCCCCTATAAGCCAAGGTGACTGTCATTCAACTTCTTGTCATGCAATCTCCAACTTCACTACTGATACAATTAAGCATTCGAACACTTCCCTTCCCTTTCTCCCATAAAACTGCTCAAGACTTTAAAAATGCAGAAGTGATGCACGGATATTCTGTTCTTAACAGTAAGAAAAGCATTGTAAGAACTAAAAAACTTGAAATAAAATGAAAAACATAAGATGACAATAACGAGGTTCGCTCAATAACAAGATGAAGCAACATCATCAAAATCTGATAGAAAAGGGCCACAAGTAGGATGAAGATGTTACCTACAGCTGAAGGATCATCGCCAATATCATAATCCAACCTTTCTTGAACCAAGTTTATCTCCATGCAGAGTGACTTTCCAGCAATCAACTTGGAATACAAACACAGAAACCTTTTTGGGAACAACTGCAAGTTACCAATATAGAGTAAATATTTGGTCATCACAAGTTTGAAGTGGATAAATTAAAGAGAGATTGATCCTGGAATAGATAAATCATCACAACTTCAACTTTAGTCAACAAATTCAAGAGAGATTAATCCCAGAAATTGTGCTGGTAAAGGTTCCTAGTTCACAATTAACTAATTCACAATGCTGTATGAGATACAAATGAACCTACAAGGATTAAGGAATCCTCAGTACAAGAGAGAGAAAGAGAGAGAGAGAGAGAGAGGGAGAGAAACAAAGCACAGGTGAACTAAGTCAAAACCATTTTAATTTAAAAGTGGTAATTTATGTCACGACAGAATTACTGACACCCCAACAATTTTAAGTGGCATCAGAAATAGAGAAAATGAATTTTTGGTCTCACTAAAACTCAGGAGAATTCTACCCTCTACACAAAGATGTGAAGGTTAACACACTCCTCAGAATAAAAAAGTCATTCCTGTTTAAATTCTGCTAAGTTTCAAAACATAAGAAAATTCAAATTTCTTATAATTAATTATCAAACTTGTATACCAAATTAGCAATCGTTAGTAAAATTCAGGAAAAGCATAACAAACAATTGCATGCATTCATCTAAGCATTAATGGCTTATGAAATACACAAATAACAGCTTTGATAATGCAGCACCAGTCTATATTTATACATAGTGGAAGGATTACCGCGGAATTTATTATCTTCAGTAATTATCCCAAATGCTTCTGCAGTTTCACGAATCATTATGCCACTAATTCCTGTAAAATGGATTATTTTACACTCCACAACTGCAAAACATAGATGGACACAGTACAATCAGGTATAACGTGCAGAAAATTATGTACAAGATAGAGGCTAAGGGTTTGTTTGGTTCAAAAGAGGGGAGGAGAAAATTTAGAAATTTTGTTTGGTTGAGAGGAGGAGAATGAATGAAACTCTTTTTGTTTGTTTCATGAGGGGAGAGAAGGGATTTTAAAAATCAATTAACCTTTGTATTCCTATAATTTTAAATTTAAAAACATAAGTATAGATATTCTAGACATTATACTAAAAATGTTTTAAAATCTCTCTCCTTTTCTCCAAATCCCCCAATATTAAAGGAGAGTTAAAATTAGACGAGGAAGGATTTTGCTCCCATCCATCTCCTCCCCCCTCCCCTCTTAAAAATTGTACCAAACAAAAAAAAAATTATAAAAATCCTTCCCTCCCCTCCATTTCCCTCCAACCAAACATTATAAAAATTATATTGACATCTCGAAAGACCAAACCCTAAACCCTAAATTGATTCAAGATATCTCTTTTAAAAAATAAATCTGGATGAAGGACCATGAAAAAGATTATGCAGGACAGTGGGGATTTATCAGCAGCTCATCTCTATTATTGAATTCATTGCCATAATTTAAAGACAATGGTTGCTTGTAACTACATCTACTCAAAACCATTAACTCTTTCTAAGAAAACTAAAAGTAGGCTTTGAACAATTTTAACACACCTTTCAATGCACATAAAAAAATTACACATTAAAACATAATTATCTTTGGGAAAATTAAAAGTAAAAGTCCTTATAGAAAATGTAGTAATATATTGACCAGCTCATAAGTGCAAAGAACATGGCAGATCTGGGAACTGTTTTAGCATTTTTGCTAGTAAGATTATTGTAGGTGTTCTTAACTCATTTAAAAGTAAAAGAGTGCGCTCAAACCTAAAATAATAGCACCATGTAGATCTGCACCAAGGAGACATTGAGCCAATTGATTTTTCCTGCAATATAAAACAAGCCCATGGTCATAAAAGCTTTAAGAGAAAACAGCATAAATGATCAGGATTTTGCCCCCTCTTTGCCGGACAATCTAAAGATAAGAAACTGAAATTTATCAACTCGACAGAAATGATACAAATTATGTACCCAGTGGATTTAAGAATTAGCATTATGTAATCTTTCCACATTTCATGCATTGGCTTGAAAATGTCAAATCTGCAATCAGAGTAAACAACCAACTATCAGGGAGCAAAAGAAACCTCACCAAAGAAAAATGTAACCAATTAGAAAAGAGCATCTTTTCTGTATATAAATTAGAATAATTTTCTTAAACAATAGAGATTTTAGGGACCATTATTCAACAAGAGTGTTTTTAGCTAGTTTTCTTCAACGATGGCATTTTTAGGGAATTTTCATAACCTCTTAGCTCTTTTAATCCATCATTCATTATAATTAAATTTCATATTTTATTAAAAAAATTATCAATAGTTAAAAATAATATTATATAGCAATATAAATTATTCATTATAAGTCTTAAATATAATTTATATGATAAAAAAGTTCATTTATTATAACTTTTAATTATAATATAATTTATATATAGCATGAGACTTAGTTTCCAAACAAAAGCTGCAGCTGAAATAAAAGATTCCTCGCAACAATATACACTACCACTATTGCAGAGCCATAGAAATAACAATAGGGATTGACATACTCTCAGGAAGTGTACTTTTTAACTTACTTCCTGAACTCTTGAGGAAGATCTAATGATCCACACTTCTTATGTTTTTTCATAGACATGTGTTTCTTAGAGCGTTTTGAATGAATTCGCAAAGCCCTAGTTTGAGAACCAGAAGAAACCACCCGTCCTTGTACATAATTATCAAGAAGGATCCAGCTGTCGATTTTCATGTTTCTAGATCCCTGCATGTACTTTTGTGCTGCATCTCCCTTCTGGAAAAGCTCGTGCAATATGCCACCAATTGAACCTCCTCTTTCAGCTGAAAACTGCAAAATATATGACCAACAATGGTGAACAAATACATATTTCCACCAATCTATCAATGAAACCGATGAATAAAGAAAAATCAACTATCTTATCTAGAAATGAAAAAATATGAATCTTTCAAAACTGAAGATAAAGAAACTTCCTCATTTTGGTTAGACGTGGAGCACAGACCTTTATTTTAAGCTTTCTGTAATTGCCAATAGGTTAAAAGGTTGTTTATAGGATCCTTGCATCAGTTATTGTTTTAGAGTTCAGACTTCAGAGGAGATTAATTATTATGGAATTATATGGAAATTGGAAAATTTGATCATAAAATGCATTGATTAGGCTTTTTTATCGTTCTTGGTCATCACATGAGTTCCAAGAAAATAAATACCTCTTCATTAGTTGTGAGCAGATTTTCATTTACAAGCACAGAAAGTTGGGCATATGCTGGACCATCTTCAATGTCTGCAAACAATTATTAACTTAATTTTTTCAATGCATATTGGAATGATAAATGTAACATAATAAGCATATAACCCACAAAATAAAAAAGAAGAAAATAAAAAACAAATAACATATAAAAAAATGTCTAGTACCTTGTGAAGTGGTATGACCAGAAAAACTGAAATTCCCTAAAGAGGGAAAATGAAAATTATCAGCTAAATGGATGTAGTATTATGCAGAATTCTAAAATTAGCAATAAAAGTAAAACTTACAATTTTCCTGGACAGAGTGACACACAGACAGACAGGATGCAAATGAATAACATAAAAACCAAGGATTAAAGATAAAATACTTCCTAAGGTAGACAGTAAGTATTTATGAAACTAAAGAAAAATAACATAAATGAAACATCCTACACTGAATTAACTTATTAACCGGCTCCGAAGAAGGAAAAAACAAAAATTGAATTACCTTTCTTGGGTGTGACTGATGATGAATGCAACATATGTGGAGAAGGGTCATTAGAAGTAGAAGATGCAGGAATAGGTGGTTTCCCATCTTCATTTATAGTCCTTTTGTTTTTCTTTTCATTTTGGAGAACTTCAATTTTAGCAACAGCTATTCTTCTCTCCAAAGCCTCCAGTGTGCGTTTCCTTGAATCTGCAGCCATGGACACCTACCTTGGCACAATATGAAAAAGGATTAAAGAGAATAAGTGATATAAAAGGCCAAATTAGAATAGCTCAAAGAAAACCAGTGACATCATTTCATTGGTAAGTTCTTCTCAAACATCAAAATGAAAAACAAAATGCAGACAGAATAAAAAAGATTCTTAAACTGTACGAAAAAATTTCTGGGGAAAATAACACATGCAGAACAAAAACCACAGTTCCAAACGGAAAATAAGTTTTCTAATTAAAAAACCTCTTTGTTGTGTGTTCTTCTGCAGTAGCAAACCATAGTATATATATATATATATATACTAATATATAAGGGGGTACTATTTTTGATAATTACTTTTGGTTTCCATTTTTACATGGACCATTTTATCCTTTGTTTATTTTTCAATAATTACCTTTTTTTAAGAGTAACTTCTCATCCTTTTCTTTTTTATTTATTTATTTTAATACAATACAGACACAAAGTGTCTTTTCCTTGCTAGTATATATATATATATATATTCAGAAGTAAAAAGAAAATAGTAAAATGTTATTGTTAACTAAAGAAATAGAGAATTTTCAGAGTGGGACGTGCTCTAATTCATCCTCATTCTGTTAGGCAATTCATCAAACAGCACAAGGACATATCCCGTTAATTAAAACCATAAAGCCATAGCGCATGAGATAATTACTGATGTGTTCCAAATTTCGGAAGCAAATAAAATCGTGAGTACATTTTCCCTGTTTGCTAAATACACTCCCCCATCTTGCTAAATACAAGAGTTACTACTTATACGAAACAGAATAACAGAGTCAAACCTAATATTATCACATTCAGGAGAGTGACTGGGTGCAAGTTAATTAGTTAGCAATTAAAATTAAAATATGATAGAAAAGAAGTTGTGTGTTATTTCTCGCAAAGTGACATTCTATGCGATGAAAGAGTAGTGGTTACCTTAGCGAATAGCGTCAGCAAAATCAATTAAACGCCAAAAAAACAAACAAAAACTTGATCGCTACGTCAAACAGAACCTATTTGTTGCGGCGAGAAGAGTGCGAATGCCACTGCGCTATTCTAAGGAATAAGGATGATTGCGCTGAATTCAAAGACACAGCTCGGCTAGCATAAAATATAAAAATATAATTAAAATTTATAATAAAGAAATATTTTTATCATATTTTTTTGGTTAGTTCTTGGAGTATCCACCGCGATAGCAGTAACTAATCTCCTCGCTTCGTTTGAGGCACCTCAAAGGGTGAGATAGCTGGCCCCAAGGTTTAATATAGGATTATTTTTAATTATTATCAATTTTTAAAATATGGAAATTAAATTTAATAAAATAAAGAGATGAGATATGGAGAAAATAAAGATGCTCTTTTTAAAAACTCTCAATAAAAAAATATTCTTAAAAATATTTTTGTTCAAGATAATTAGTTTAAATTTGTATAAAGAATGGAAAAGAAATTATTTTAATATATAGAATGCACATGATAAATATTTAATTTTTATAATTAAAATTTATTAAAAAAATATTTTAAAATATAATTTATATAATAATTTGAAATTATAATACATAATTTTAACATAAAAATTATATTTTAAATTAATGATAAGTAATTAATATTATAATTATCATATAAATTTATTTTAAATATTAATATTTTCTAAAAATAATATTTAATTTAAAAATAAAAATAAACAGGGTAGATCGAAAACGACCAGAAATTAAGAAAAATCTTTATATGTTCTCAATATAAGAATCCTCCTTAAAGAATGATAACTGAAAACGTTATTGTTTTAAGATAAATAAATATTTTAATTTACATATTTAAAGATAGGACTTTTAAGTAGGTTCTTAACATTTTTTAGTTATTTTTGAACATATACTTTTTATAAGTTTTATTCTATTGTGCAATTAAAAATTATTGTTAATGTAATTTTTAAGATACTATAAAAATCAGTGAATTTAACATTCACGATGAATTGTGAATAAATGAACGTATAGAAATATTGTACACTATGAACCTCCACTGTTTACCCATTTAATGAGTTAATATTAACCATGATTTTATGTTCTTCAAAATTAGAGTACCTGTTTAGTAAAAGTGGTAAGGGAGTTTACAGTTTTGCAAGATTGTAAGTTCAAATATTCTTCGTGAAAATTAAGTCGTCTGTATCCTTGTATTTGAAGTTTCAATGCTTTGTCACGTCTGAGTTATTCTTTCTTCAGTGTCCTTGTTCTGTTGATTTTATTTGATTAATGAATAGTTTTTTAGCTTCTCCATTACCTATCTTGCACAATTCTTCATCATCATCTTGACTTGAATTTTTCACCATTATATCACTTGCTATATAATAGAAAAAATGGACAAATAAGAATCTGTTTACTCTACCAAGCACAAAGATCAATTGTTAGAAGGCTACTCTAACTTTACAATAGTTTTGAGAAGATAAATGCTTCATCATACAAATTTTTGCAACACGAAAGCTTTACTGCAAAGGCATGCATAATTCCTACCAAATCAGTTAATTTTTACAGCTTCAAAATCAACTCATGCGAAACCTCTTCCCATTATATAGCAGTCCTCTTTTGGAAATGAGGTCCTTATAATGTAATTAGATTAAAATTGAATATGGAAAACTTTTTCACCCTTACTAGTTCAAGTCAACTTGAATCCAGACAATATAGGTCATATCCAAGAGTCTATCCATTCTTAAAATTTAGTTGGTTATAATCATAATGTATTTCAAATTAAATATATAAACGACAAACTCATTTTTTTAGTACCTTTTTTCAAATCTTAAGTTTGTAAGCAAAATTAAGGACTCGGATGTGCATATTATGTTAACACAGGGCACCCTTATGCAAGCAACCCTCTTCAGCCTAAACTGAAACATATCAAGATTAAAATGAATATCTTAGGCAACTACAATAAGCAATTACCAAAAATAAGGGAAACTACAATAAGAGACTACAATCTCCTACCTAGCAGTTAGGATGATCTGCTATTTACACACGATCACAGTTTCATAAAGCAACTAATATAAAATCACAATTAGCCGGGTAAATACTTTTACATCCTCAATCAGAAACTGTTAACTGCAAAATTGTTCAAAAATTGTATCAAAATTTTTTTCCAATCAGGCCATGAAAGACAAACCTTATCACATTCCTTCTTCTTCACTCTCATATCAGATCAAAGAAAAGAACACTTCAGCATGTTTTCTTCTCCCAAAAACATTTTTCGAACAAAAAATATCTTAAATAAGACACCTAAAAACAAAAGAAAACAATATAGTTTATACCCTTTCAGAATAAATCGTTATAACCAAAGTTTTAAATTGTAGTCGCAGTTGAAGTCTTTGATATTGCAGGAAATTCTGGACAAATGCAGCTAGAATTGTGATTGCATTGTTGTTGCAGAGATTCTAAAAACCTTGACATTGTGGCTGAAGTCGCAATAGTAGCCTGTTTTTTAAAACCTTGGACAAATAACCAAGCAAATCTATGGCTATTGGGAAATGGCACTATCAGCAATAGAAACTCTCCTGACAGGACGAGAAGATTTTTTCACATAAGATGAATTCCACTCCCCACCATCCTGAGCATAGTAATCCATCGGATAATCTCCACCAAAATCGTTCTCATCCCCACCACAACAAGAACCACTCTTCTTGCAACAACCCACACCATCCTCTTCGCAAACCTCATTCTTCTCCCACCACCCAGGTATCGCTCCCAAAGCAACCTCTGCTTCAAAAGGAGTAAGCACCGGTTTCACAAAAGCCTCCCCCCAATCAATGGACAACCTCGGACACGCAATCTGAATCCAAGCATCAACAGAATCCTCAAAGAGTGCAATCCTCCCAGGACTCAACTCCGACATCAAACCCACCGTATAATCAAACCCTTTCTCCCTCATCATCTTCTCCAACCTCTCAAGAATCCTCGGATTCCCTTGCCTCCCAAGAGTCCCCAAAACAAGACCCCAACTCCGAGCCTCCCTCGCTTTAAAAATCGCATTTTTCCTTGACCGCTTCATACCCAAATGATCATACTCCTCCAGAAACAACTTCCCCAAGTAAGGGTCATACCTAAACGCCTTAATCCCGGGATTCGCAATCATGAACGCCTCCAGATGAAACCTGCCATCCGCCACGAAAACCAGAACGCTCTCACCAAGCAAATTCGACGACACCCTGGGCGCGGTGCAGCCCAGAACCTCCCCGGCGGAGAGCGGCTTCGCCTGCGGGATCAAAACCCTAAACCCTAATTCCTCCAATTGGGGTTTGGCGGCGCGAATCGCGGAGGCGAATTGGATGGTGCCGGCGAGGACGAGGGTTTTGGAATGGAGGTTTAGGGTTAGGGTGTGGAGGAAGTGGGGGACGTCGATTTTGATGTCGACGAAGACGTAGAGGCAGGGGAGGGTGGTGGAGTCGATGGGGACGAGGCAGCTGTGGCCGTAGTGAATGAGGAGGTCGGCGGAGAGGGCGGAGGCGGCGAAGTCGTCGACGCAGCAGGCGCCGTAGGTGACGTCGGCGAGGATGTAGCAGTGGGTGACATTGGCGAAGGTGGTGAAGATGTCGGAGAGGGGGAGGGAGTACATGAGGAGGCCCTCAGGGAACTGAAGGGCGAGGCGCTTGGCGCCGGAGGAGAGGATGCGCCACACCGACTTGTGAACCTCGAAGTTGTAGTTGGAAGGGAGGACGGATATGGCGGCGTTCAGAAGAGGGTCGTTTAGGATTGAGTCGGGGATTTGGTTTTTGATGAAACGCTTTGGCTTTGCCTTTGGCTTAGGAGGATTTACGAGGAGGACCTCTGCTTCTGCCTTCGCTTGCTCCGACCACTCCATCTTTCTTTCGCTCCACTGCCTCTGCCCTCTGCTTCCTTCTTTCCATACCAATATTTTTATTTTTGTATATAACCCCTTATTTAATTAAGTCTTTAATTTATGCTTCCTCATTAAGTACCGGGAGTGATTGAATTATCTGATTTTTAAATTTACTTTTATACATTAAAATTTATTTGAATGTAAATGGCTTGTAAGACTTTTTTTTTTTTAATTTTATACTTTTAGATCTTTATTCTTAATATTGAAATTTTAAAAAAATAATTTTCTTGAATGAAAGTTTAAAATTGTTGATACGTATTTGATGTTTAAAATTAACTGTAAATCATCTCAAAAGATAAAATAAAAGTACTTTTCGAAAATTATTTATAACTAAGTATTATTATTATTATTAACCAACTCTTTTACATTAAAATAGATAAAATACAACCCATATCATGTGGGGAGGGGTAGTATATAGTCAAGAATCAAGAATTTAATTAAAATGTATTAAAAAATAATACTTATTACAATAAAATAAAATAAATTTTGCACTGCTATTATGACAAAAAAATTTATTTTTTATTATTTTAAAAATCCTGAAAAATTTTAATTAGTTAACTATATACTATCAATAAAAAAAAATTTAATTTAGTGAAAATTATTATCCTTTTTTTTTATGTTATTTGGAATATAACAAAGTCACTTTTCTAAATTTTTTCAATAAGTTTCAATTTTTTCTTTTAAACTTGTTTAATCCTGTCCTCGTTAGAAAACGCGAAGTTAATGATCAGTTACTATATTAACTTTATTGACTACACATTTTGAATCAATTAAATGACATCTCTCTCACTTGCGCATATCCTTATTACTCTCCGTTGTAATATGATTTTTCCCTTCCTTCAAAACATCTTTGCATTCCTACTACAACTTTAAATAACTAACAAAAATTAAACTCAATACTAATACCTCTCAAAAAAACAAAATTGATTTATTCTTTTTATTTTTAAAGTAAAAACTTAGTTATTATTAATCAATATCATGTCCAAGTATTCATAATATTTTTCTTTTTCAATTTGAATTTGATAACTATATTTTATAGTAATTTCATATTAATCTACTATACAATTATAAAAAAAAAAAGTATAAAAAAAAGGTAACTCTTGAGTATGTATATATATATAAATATAACAAGATGGCTGTATTCTAAAGAACAGGTATTACTAAAATCAGAACCGTGAGTATATATATAGGCTCCACATAATGATCAGTAATTCAATAATTGAGAATTTTTTGTCAATAATTCCTAAAAATGCTGTTGAGCAAACCAAATAAAATTTTAAAATATTCCTAAGAATTACAACATAAAAGAGAATTGACGGGTTTCACGAAACACAGTACAATTGCAAAAAGGTTTTATGAATGTTATGATATGAGCCTAAACCGCGGATTTAAATGCCATGTTAAGCATATCTATTATATGGTAAACTTGTCAGATATTCAATTATGGTACATGGGCTTAAATATATAAACAGTGCCAGTAAGGCAAATGCATTAATACTCTCCATCAAATCTTGTTTCCCATACAAAAGGACATCGAATCAAAACCTGAAAGATACACATGTATAATCAGATAAATAAGCACATAATACTAATAACATAATAAATTTTACAACTCGTACATGGGGTCAGTTAATAAAAACGGTTTCTTCAAATCAAACCGAACCTAAACGAAATAAAAGTCGCACCACGATCAGCACCTTAGACAGTCCCGATGCAAGCGCGGTGGATAGAAAAATATTGAGCAATCGAGCATAGCTGCATACGTTCAAAAGACCCCCACCTGCACCAATACGTCCAAAGGATAACGATTTTGCGCAATTAAAAGTTAATAAAAAGCAAAACATATTACTTGACATTTGCTAGTATGCAAAAAGAAAAAACCATTAGCAGTTTAATATATGTAGACACACAGACAAAAATAAGACGATGGGCCGGACTTTCCACAATAATATTCATACCTGTATGACAACGAATGGGTAAGAAAGGCAGACAATATGTGCAATTTGTCCCAGATTGGGGCGCGAGACAAGAGTGTTTAAGAGTCCCATTACACCTTCACGTTGACTACCAAAAGTAGATTTACTTAGGTTGCGGAACCTTTTAAAGAAAATAATAACTATACAAAAACATCACTAAAAAAATAACAGCAGATTGCTAAGAGATTTGATTATAAGCCATATCAAGTTTATTTCCAATTTAAACCCAGAAAAACTGTATATAAGTGCTGAACCAAAAGAAAGTCCACCCAAAGAGGATGACCGAGAAAACCACTTAATCCAATCAGACCATCCAGCCAAGGATAATTATACAGCTATATGGTTATAAGGAACAAAATAGATAACGAAAAACCAATAACTACAAAGCTGGACAGCCATTTTTTCCCTTCACAAGTATGTAGCATAAGGCTTATAAACAAACAAACATTATAACAAAATTAGTAACACTAGGCTCAACTAGAATAGGATCTTACCCTTTACACGACAGAGTATTTGCCAGGTTGAGTTCCACCAGGAAGTTGCAAAGCCTGATTTGTGATGTCTTCCAATACACGCTTCAATTCAGCTTTAGCTCTTTTAACAGACTGCTCAGTAGGACCTTCAATGAATAAGTAGAGTTTGCGTTCCCCAGGTCCTGGGATTTTGCCAGGTGGGAAAAACTGCCCCCTGGTGGTAATGGCAGCTCCAGTCCATTCAGAAATAGGACCTAAAGTTTCCTTGTGTGTAACCTTCCATCGAGCATTCTGGGGGAAATCATTTATTTCCAACTCGGCCTCATAATGCTCTGGTAATGCTTCTGATTGTATTTTTGCTAAGTTGTGCTGCAAGTTTATAGCAGCTAATGCTGCTCGAGCGGCCCCATCATTTGCAGCAAGGGGTAGCCCTGTCCCAGGCAAGACTGTGGCAGTCTGGAGACCAAGAACAGCTGGCAAAGAAACAGGTAGTCCACCATTTGTCATCAACTGAGCAGCGGAGATGGGAGTAGGCAATGCAGGAGCATTCACTTTAGTGGCAGCGAGAATCTGAGCAAGAGCAGGATGCTGTGAGATATCACCTCCAGCCTTCCTAATACCTTCATCTTCATCTTCAGAATCTGACTTGTCTTCTTCAAACCCATATTCCTTGGCTTGTGCTTTCTTTGCTGCTCTTCTCACCTCATCTTCCTCTTCATTAAATTTAAAGCCACTGCCTCCATAACCAGTCCCATGGGCTTGCTCCAGTCCTTGGTTCACTTTTGCCATAAAGCTATCAGCAAGAGCTTTCAGATCATTGGGAACAATCTGCTCAGACAGTTCCAAGGCTTTCAGCAGATCAGGTGCATATCTTGCCTCTTCCTCAGAAATAAATGTAATGGCACAACCCTTTCGGCCGGCTCGTCCGGTGCGCCCAACACGATGTACATAATCTTCATAGTGGTTAGGAACATCAAAATTGATCACCAATTCAAGCTCCTTAACATCTAATCCCCTGGCAGCAACACTTGTTGCAACCAATAAATTGCAAACGTTGCTCTTAAAATCAGATATTGTGGATTCACGATCAGTCTGGTCCTTAGCCCCGTGAAGTGAAAGGCATGGATAACCATGCCTGAGCAAATCCTTGAACAAACTATCACATTTCTCCTGTGAGTGTACAAATATCAAAATCTTTCCTTTCTCGTACCATTCCCCCAATATTTCTAAGAGTCTAAGGAACCTTTCATTATCTGGCCTCACCTCAACTAGCTGGGTTATGTCTTTGTTCACAACACTCCTCCCACCAACTTGTATTTCAACAGGTTTATTCAAAACCTTACGAGCCAGAATTTCAACCTGACGGGGGAAAGTAGCAGAGAACAAAACCGTTTGACGATCGGGACGAATGTTCTGAACAATTCGTGTGATTTGAGGTTCAAAACCCATGTCAAACATCCGATCAGCCTCATCCATGACAAGATAAGTGACTCTACGCAAGTTAGTTATTTTTCCACTACTGGTGCATAGTATGTCAATCATCCTACCTGGAGTACAAACAACTATCTCAGCACCGCGTTTCAACTCACTAATTTGTTGAGCAACACCAGAGCCTCCATACACAGGCACGCACCTGATACCCATTACCTTAGCAAATTTTTTTATATCACTGTGAATCTGTTGAACAAGCTCCCTTGTAGGAGCCATAATAAGCCCAATAGGTCCATCTCCGGCAACAACTGGTGGCTGATCCTTGATATGCCTCAGCATTGGCAGAACAAAAGCAAGTGTTTTGCCTGACCCAGTCTTAGCAATCCCTATGCAATCTCGACCACTCATGATTACAGGGAGTGCTTGAGCTTGAATAGGCATCGGCTTTTCAAAGTTCATCTTCTTTATTGTCTCCAAAATTTTGCTACCAAGTCCAGTCTGGTGCCACGATTTTATAGGCTTTGGCACATCCTTTCCATGTATCTTCAACTCCAACTGCTTCCTGTATACTGCAGCTTCTTCAGAAGTTATCTTAGAGATCTCCTTCACTTCAATATAAAAGTTTTTCTTGAATGGTTCATAGTCAATCTTTGAGTGGTCAACTAAAGAAAGCTTCTCAGCTTTTGTCTTCTTCACTCTTTTCATGAATTCATCATCATCTTCATCCAATGGATCCCTCTCAACTTCATCATCTGCATAATCAGACTCAGACTCTTCACCAGGAATTATTCTGCCAATAGACTTATTCGAACCTTTCCTTGACTGTGCACCACGACTTTGCTCATTCCCCTTATCTTTGGATTTTATGTCAACAGCTTTATCAGAAAGTGACGATGTCACAGCATTGTTTAGCTTCTCAACTTCAGGTAGAACCATAGAATTCATGAAAGCGTCCAATGGATCTATTTCCTCATCTGCAGGAGCACCAGCAGATCCATCCTGTAAATCAGATGCAACTGTCCCATTATCAGTGTCTACCACCATTGCATCCTTAGGTCCCTTATCAGCAGGCTTGTCATCTTCATCTACATCCATACTTGTATCATGCTTCCCATTACCTGGACCTTCTTCGTCATCAGATTCCCCTTCAAGAGTCCAGGTCTTTCCAGACTCAGGTTCATTAGCACTTGCTTCACCATGCTTTTCTCTTTCTGCTTCTTCCTTCTTCCTCCTTAGCTCTTGCCACTCTTGAACTCTCCTCCTTCTCTTTTCCATTTCTTCATCCAACCTCTTTTGTTCATCCTCCATCTCCTCTTCACGGGTAGGTTTTCTCTCTTCATCTTTTGTATCTGAATCATCTCCGCCACTCTTTTTTCTCGGGCTTCCTTCACGTTCCTCAGTTTGCCTATTTTGCTTGCCAACACTCCTTTCCCTCTCTCTCTTCTTGTAATCACCATCCTCCTTCCTATGCCGCTTTCTATCTCTCTCCCTGGATTCACCATCACTGTAATCACTGTCAACTTCCCTGCGCTTCTCCCTCTCACGTGTTCTCCTCCCCCTTTCTCTTTCCTTTTCCTTCTCTCTCTCATGATCCCTCTTTTCCCTTTCCCTTTCCCTTTCTCGTTCTCTCTCTCTGATCCTCTCCTTCTCCTCTTTTCTTTCCTTCTCTCTTTCTTTCTCCCTTACTCTATCTGTCCTCTCCCTTTCCCTGTCTTCCCTATCCCTTTCCCTTTTCTTGTCTCGAACTCTTTCTCTGTCCACATCCTGAACATGTGCCCTATCCTTATCTTTATCTCTGCGCTTCTCCCTGTCCCTATCATGCCTGTCTTCAGAATCGGTACTCCTCTCTCTCTCATGTCTCCGGGAGTCTCGATCCTTCTTCTCCCTATCCCTGTGCCTCCCATCGTTTTTATCCTTAGTTCTATCACGGTCACGATCCCGATGACTCCTCTTAGAATCCCCATCTTTCACCTCATAATCTTCTTTCCTTGATCTATGTTTTCCCTCATCCATTGCTTTCTCCTATAAATTCACAACTACGTGTTAGTAACGATAGGCAACATACTGCAAACACACAGTATCTCCAAACCCTAGAAGACACATTCATTGAAGAAGCAGACTGATGCGTATGCCATACAAGGATATATAGATGCTTCAAAGCAATTAAGCACCACAAATAAATTATAACAAATGAAAATACAATAAGAATATTTCTCCGAATCAATGCAAACCAGTAATCTAAAATCACGGAATGGCATCAAGCAGAAACAGAGCGTATCAGGCACTTCAAACCGTAAACTAGGGATTCAAATTCACACGATAGAATCGACCGCAGTAGAACGCGAAAACCAATTGCAATTGAAATGCATAACAACAACGCAAGAGAAACAAAAAGCATAGTATTGAAAGAATATAGAGGTGCGAACCTTGCGACGAAGCTTAAAAATCGAAACTCAAGAGAAAAACAAATGGATTTCGCAGTCGCGGCTTCGCGTAGATGCCAAGCTCAAGAGCTAGGGCACTCCCTCGCGGCGGCAACCAAAAAACGATAACGGAACTACTTTCAGTGTCGCAACACAACGAAAATATAACAACATCTCAGAAACGGTGATCCCGTTTAACTTAAAGCGATTATATGAAAATATTTTTTTCCAGCTAATACAATTAAATATTTTCGAAATACATATTTTACAATTGAATATTTTAAACAAAAATACATTTTAATATTATTAATCTATACTAATATATAAAAAAAATATCACTTTCAATAATTACTTTTAATTTTTATTTTTATATAAATTATTTTATTATTTATTTATTTTTTAATAATTGTTTTTTTTATACGTAATTTTTATTTTTTTTATTTTTTTAATATAATATAAGCTTAAAGTGTCTTTTTCTTACTAGTCATTATAATTATTATTTTCTATCGTAATATTTTTACTATAACTATAACGTTCATATCAAATATTTGTTATATATATGAGTGTATTTTTTTTTTTTAAAAAATCACATTATTTAGATTTAGTAAATATACTAAAGTATTTTTTTACATTTTTAAAGAGGTAAGCAAGATGTTGGTGAGTTCATATGTCCATGATGATGATTGCTAACCATATGTTCAAGTGTTTCAGTATGTTCTACATTTTATAGTTAATCTATAAAAAAAAATTAATAATTACCTCTTGTGAGTTTTTTTCTTTATAAACCAAATATAGTTTTATTCAATCCCACAACTTGTTAGTATTTTTTATCATATATATTTATATATAAAAGTATACATTTTGTTTTCCGTAATAATCTCAAGTAAATTGTAGAGTTCAATTTTCATGTTTATGTGTATGGATGAATATACGTGCTTTAATAAAATTAGGTCTCGTACATGAAGTTTCAATATAAGAGATTAATATTTAACTTTTATATTCTTTTATTAATATTATTTGTTACCATGTATATAAAGTATACATGTTTTATTTTTTTTAATAATAATCCCAAGTTTAGAGTTTACATGTTAATATTTTTCAAAGTCATTCAATTGAATGTAGTTTTACTTAATTTTTTAAATCACATTTTTTAAAACTATCACAATACTATGTAAAAACATTTTTTCTAAACAATATTTCAATTTGTAATTTCAAATACTAAATAAATTAATTCAGGTTGGGATGAAGAAGAATAGGACTATATTTTGGACTCTAAAAAAGGTGGGAAAAAAAATAATGTACACTTTTAAGAAGAGTCACTCGATAATGTTAACATTTTGTAGTTTCAATTAAATTTGCACATGTAAACTGTAAACAAGCAGTGCAGCTTTTGGAAACTAGTCATCATGCCACATAAAAGTAGATCCGGCAAAACCCCAGCCTGATGTGAGCAAGTCCAATACGAACTGTGTCAAAAGGGTTCAAATTTAATTCAATATTTTAAATTGATGCCCAAACTTGGCTCTCCGCGAATTTTCGGGTTAATTTTTTTTAATCTCAAAATTAAATTTAAATATTTATTTTTATGAATAATGAATTGTAAAAAGCATGTCAGACTATATGGAATCCTGTCATTGCTGTGAATTTTTTTCGTGAACATCTTGTGCTTGTTAATGAAATTACTCTGGTCCCGGTTATCGTTGGCCATAATGTTGTGACATTCTGATTCTGATATGTTTGCATTAATTTACATTATGATGTTATGATAGTTTTTTAATAACGAAATTTAAGTTCCAATTGGTACATTGAGTGAGCTCAAACTATGACCGAGTTCGCTTACAGAGCACTAGTAAAATTTATTGGTACCTTTCAAGATGGCCAAGGTATCATCGTGCCATGAGTTGATGGTTGGTTTTTGGTATAGGAAATCACTCCACTACTTGGACGGTAAAGATGTTGTAAGATGTACGGGAATTAACTCTAATAATTTTAGGTAGCTATTTAGTATTACAAACACGTGAAAAGTTTATAAGTGGCGTTGGTATTTATATATGTGGAATTGAGAGCATGGTTATTATAAAAAATTAAGATAATTACATCTTATTTATTCGAATAGTAAAAACTGTATCATTAGGAGAAATGGAAATAGTGAATATAAATTATTAAGTTCTATTTGGATGATCAAAATTATGTGTGCCTGAGCATGACTTAAATTTTATTTTAACAGTAAAATTTGATTATTGTAAAAAATAAAAGTAAAAAATATGGATTATTAAATTTTGTAAGAAATATAATTAAGATTAAAAAGTAATCCCTTAAATATTGGAAAAACCTTCATATTAATTCCTATATATTAATACAAGGCTATATTACTAAAAAAATATTTTTAAAATCATATCAATCATCAAACCGATTAAAATATTGATTAAAAGTTTAGTAATTTAATCATAATTAAATCATATAGTTAAACTAGTATTAATAAAATAATATTAATATTTAAATAATACATAAAATAATATTACATAATCACAATATCATAATTTTATAATGTTAAAATTAAAATAAAACATTATTTATAAATTATTAACATTTAATGTATATGTAAAATTATAAACTAAAAGTAATATAATATTTAAGTTTAAATTTTAATAAAATATAAAAATATCTATAATAATAACAAATTTACATCTAATAAAAGGCATTAAAATAATAAAAAAATATATAATTATAAAAAATAAAGATATTAAAATTAAAAATTAACATAAATGATTAAAATATATTTATAAGACAAGTATTAAAATAATTTATTCTAACTAATATTTTTTATGAAAAATATTTTAAATTAAATGTAAAAAATTAATTGGGCCAGTTGAAATTAGTTCAACAAATTTTTTTAATAGTTATAATCTGTTATGAACAAGTCCTACCAATTCATTACAAAATAATTTTATGCACTAATTTAATCTGTTAAGAACTAGTTACTGATTCAACTGTTCGATTCAATTCGATTTTGATAATAATGATAAAAACTGCAGTGATGAACCACCTATATATAATATTTAACCATATGAATAAAAATTTATAAAGTTATAATTTTATTTAATATTTGTCTTAGTTATTAAACCTTTTTTGTCACTAAAAATTAAATAAGAAAGCATCCCATTGTTCGACCCATATCCATTTATGACACAGAATATTGTCAAAAGTTAAAAACATTCGCATCTAATTCAAGTTTATAATTTAGAGGTCTAACCTTATGCTTTATCGAGTTCAAGCTATTTACCATCTATATATAAAATTCATTGTGATCAATTAACAGCCAAATCATTACAAATGTCACTCTTATGTTTTTTTTTTTTTCAACGATATGTTTTGTTAAATTGTGAACTAGATTACTAAATTGATTGATGGAATATAATTTAGGAGAACAATTTTAGATAAATGCCACTTCAAATACTAACTTAACGTCTTACGCAATGTTTGTTAAATTGTGAACCAGATTGATCGACACAATATAATTTAGGAGACCTTTCTTAAATAAATGCCACTCTAAGGACTATTGTACCAGTATGCCATCAAAAGACCAGCACAAATCAAACATACTAATATAGAAACTTTTTGTTAATGTTTAGTATTGATTATTTTTAAAGGGGGGAAAACCTTATTCTCTAAAGCAATCTTAAAAATGTGGTCAAAAAACTTTTTTTAAAAAACAAAATGGTTCAAGCACCACTTCCACTTCAGATACCTTATATTTATCTAGTTACACGATGATACTACAAACTCATCCTCAGAAAAAAAAAAAAAAAAAAAAAAAAAA